ACTACATATTTTTGTAAATAATTTATTTTGGAATTATTTGGTTTTCTCCTTCGTTCGCAAGATTCCCATATTTTTGTATAAAGATGAAGACGTAAAAAACCAAAACCTTTCTTTCCCATTTCACGATTCACTAATGTGAACATATAAATGCATTTATTTTATCATCACTCAGAAATAAAAGTGATGTATTTATATTAAAATGATTCTCTCAACAAGTTTCTCATTTTTGGTTACCCCTAATTGATTTGGTGCATTCTACCACATAAGGAGATGAATACAAACAACCAAAAAATAATCGAACTTTCATACTTCTCATACAAAAACACCTGAACTAATGGTGATTTCTAGCCGGCCCCGCAATTCATATATCTGTTGACGTCATACCTCGTTTCGCTGAAGTGTTTCTCTGAGATTGTTTTCTGGTGTATAGAATACTTTTCTTCCGTCAATATTCTACAAGATACGTCCCACTAAATGACACTTTCACTGGTAGTTTTCTCGTTGCGTTACAAAATATTATTAGAAATTCATATGCTAATCGACAAGATAGATTTCTGTCATTTAGGTTATGCTGTCCACAATTGATTCCATGTTTGTAGTTTGGTAAATCATGATCAGAGTTTGTAGACAGCAAACTCTTCACATGTATACTTTGCACTTAGGAAAACAGATGTAGGTGAGCACATTACGTTTATTACAAATTCATTGAGAACTAGGTGTTACCTTGTTCCAATTTTTGTGCTTTTTTTGCAAATTTTCTAACAACAAAATATATTCAACTGAAGTTTCAAACAACAAATGTTTGACGTTATTCATAACTGTTGCAACATGAGTCCAATTTTTTTAGTGTCCAAAAATCTAAATTTCACCTTCAAAACTGCCAGAGGTCTTTGAAATTTAACTACCTTCCATCTTTTTCAGGTTGAAGAATTTGAGTCAGAAAAAATGGCGAGTTTCCTCCTGTACGGCTCTAGATGTCTCTTGGGCCACATCAACATGTCCCCTGTCGCGGTCGAAGCTTGCGTTGTAGATATTTTTGCTAATCAAAACATCGAAAACATCCAAAGGATAAGACGTCATGGTTCCTACCATAAGTCTGAAATAGTGCCGAAGGCTATAACGATTTCCAGCAGAAATTTTGCAACGGGGGTTCCTAATGCTCTCAGTCAACTCATTGTCAAAAACCAGAATGGTAAATATTTGTCATTTAGATCATTCAACATGTAGGTGACCGATTTCAGTTCACAACTTTTACAAATTATAAAATGGTTCATTGTATGACTACTACGAGTATATTATGCTCTGAAGTGTGTGTNCAATTTAAAGCCATTAGACTGCTTCCACCTATCCCCTCTTCCCTCTCCCTGCTTTATTAGTTTTTAGCGGGAGCTGACTGTTTGGCGGGAGTTGGTCATGTTCGGCTTGATTAGAGATTTCCATATGTTACGTATATCTACGCTAGCTTGGCTAAATGCGTTGTTGGACAACATATACGCGGCTTCTTTGAATTTTCTCCTAAACCAGTGTTCCTCCTTGTGGATGATTTCAGCTTGAGCCCACTTGATGTTATGTTGTTGAGTTCAAACATGCTCTGCTATTCCGGATTTGCTATGTGTGTTTCTTGTGCTCAGTAATGCGAACTTTCAATGGCCTCTTAGATTCACCGATGTATGATTATCCGCACTCGCGGGGTATCCGGTAAATGAAATTCTTGGAAACGCAGTCCGCGTTTGGTGGCCTGGTTTTCGTGAGGCTGCTACGGATACTGTTCCCAGATCTGAAGCAAGTCCTGATCTTATACTTGGACCCAATCCTTCTTATCCTTTCCGATAATCCTCTGATGTAGGGAAGTACAAGTACTGGTTGTGGCGGCTTCTCTTTCTTGTGGAGCTCTTGCTGTCTTCTAGCTAAAGCCCGTTCTACCATCACTCTGGTGTAACCATTCCGTTGAAGGTCATTTTTAATGATGCCTAGTTCCTTTTCGAGACCTTCCTTTGTATTACAGAGTCCGAAAGCACGGTCTAGTAGAGTCTTGATGATAACTCTCTTAGTCGATTGATGGTGGTTGGATTTCTGATTCTGTGTGAGTGGGTTTTCGATATACAGATGTTTCCCATTTAGTGTCAGTCCTCTTCACGAATACGTCTAAGAAAGGCAATTCGTTGTGGATTTCCGTTTCCATTGTGAAAGTGATGGTTGTTGTTATTTCTTTGTAATTTCAGTTTTTTGTTTAGTAAAAATTGTTATATTATATTAGACAATGGAAGTCCGAACTGATGAAATACATTTGTCAAATTGGTTAGTCGTTCATCCAGCCAACTTGAAAGCTCAATTCAAAACATATGTATTGTAACGAATCAGAAGCCGGCCCTGACCGATATCTCAGCCAGTGAATAAGCAATGACTCGCCGCGAAAGGAATGCACTCGACAAGCCACCGCGAATAGTCTAGGCCAGTACCGAAACAACTAGAGAAATCTAGCACGGTCGTCACCGGTTTATAAGGCCCGCTTCTCGTCCCGAGAGGGGAGTCTGTATTCAGTAAGCGAATCGTGCGTTTAAATAAAGAATTCGAACAGTGAAGATAAATCAGGCGTTAGTTACTAAGTGTTGAATATAAATTAGTTGTTATAGTGAAATATTGTTAAAAATAAATTTGTTTAAGACAGTTAATTCTTTAATTCGTTACAGTATATTTGCTATCACAAGTGGCAAGCCCATCGTCTTAAGACAAAAAAGTTATTTTTTATCAAAACAATGTCTACGTTTATATTGTGATACACAGCTTGAGATTTTTTCCTTTATAGTTATTGTCATTTACTGTAACAAGACATTCTCGTTTCGTTGTTTGGTCAAAAAAAGTCAAGTCCTATTAATTGTTTATTAACACATGTTCCTACGTGAAAAACTATGCTTTCTTCAATGATAAAAACGGTTTGAGACCACAAAATCGATCATTTGTATTCCATGGAATATGACTAAATTAGTTTCAGCTTCATGTCATATTGAAATATAACGATCAAATAGGTCTATGTTGACTATTCATGAAAGATACATAACCTAACACTGTTTAGTTAAACTGGAAGAAATTTGATTTCACCTCTATAGTAAAATCAATTTCAAGAAAACACATTTCTCACACCAGAACGAAAAAATGTTCTCTCGAAGTGCGTTTCGTTAATCAAGTTAGCATCATCGAACTGCCTTTTAAAGTACTGTTCCCTAGTAGAGAGAACTGGATCCTCCGGGAGAAGGAAATAGTAAGAGCAGATAGTTGTTGGTTCACAGATGGATCAAAAACAGCTTCAGTTTGTGGTGCAGGTGTTTTTAGTCGCAGACCCATGACAGAGATATCAACCTGTCTAGGAACCTATGCGACTGTATCTCAAGCGGAAATTTGCGCTATTGAATTGTGTGCGGAGAGAGTGAAAGAATCCAACCTCATACACAAGTCAATAAAAATAGTCTTAAACAGTCAAGCAGCTTTGGAAGCTCTTGACTCCTACCAAGCAATGTCTAAATTGGTAGTAAATTGCCCAAAACGACTCTTCTCGATAAGAAGGATCAAAAGATTGTATCTGGTCTGGATTCCGGGCCATCCTAGTCTGGAAGGCAATGAGGCTGCTGACTCCCTTGCAAAGGAGGGTGCTGCAAGCAGCTTCATTGGATCAGAACCTGTCATTGGTATCGCTTTAGGCTTTGCCAAACAAACATTGAACACCTGGATGGCAAGAAGATTTATGGACTTCCTGCAGAATCTTCCAGGAGCGGCTCACTCCAAGACGATAATTTACCCTTCGAAGTTTGATACCGAACAGTTGTTGGACTACAGTAGTGATGAACTACGATTACAGGTCACTGTCATTTGAATCATCATATGCAGAGACTCGGACTGTTCAAAGACAGTGTGGGTCGCCTCTGTTTGGCAGAGCATATACTTTTTGCCTGCCCCGCTGGGGAACGATTCCGGTTTTCAGAGTTTATCAGAGCCGTACTCTTACCATCTGACCTGAAGACCACTCACCATACAAACTAATCGGCTTCGTTAAGAACCTGGGTTCATTTGGTTGCGTGTGAATATGTGTGAGCCACAATAAAACCTTGCGGGTTGCGGTGGAGGGGCAAATGGACCCACTCACTTTTGACCTAACCTAGCATCATCGGGAGCTTTCATCATAATTTTAGCATTATCATCGGTTTTCATCACCTTCAGATGATGCTCACTTGGTTAGAGAAATGTGCGTCGAGATACAGTATTTTTGCTCTGATGTCTTTGGACCAAATAAATAATAGTTCACCATTCCAAAGAATACCTGGAAAAAAGGGCGGATGCAACGGTTCATTAAATATTGGTGGAAGCTTCGTGGTTGTAAATTGGCGGAGGACCCCCAAATAAATTGCAGGCTTCTATTATTTATTCTCTTAAAGCAGGTATCAACTGTGACGGTGAAATGTTCTTCAGAACAACCGGAAAAGCGCTGCAATCACTAATCACAAGGCATCCTGACGAGAAGTCTGACAGCGTCGAAGTAGCACAGGAAGCCTTGAGAAGAGCCTCTATTTTAGGAGAACCAATCAAGATCCACCAAAGACTCACTAGATACAAGAACAAATATTTGGTAAGTGAATGAAGCTCGACCGTAGGGTTAATTCGAAAGGGAACTGTACTTATTTGCTTAAAATACAAATGAATGGAAACTATTCACAATATAAATTAATTACATAGGGTGGACAATAAGTGGGTACGTCTCTATATTGAAACAAACTGAAGACCCTTCACGAATGATGAATGAATGAAATTCATCATCTCATTAAAGTGTAGTATAAGGTCTTCCAAAAGGGGGTTCCATCTTATTGGAGCTACATCTGCCAAATTAGTTGTCATTTATTCAGTCTGCATTCAACAGCACCTACAAATAATAAAATTGTTTCATCAAAATGGTTGTTCTGTTCGAGAAGTTGTCCTCCTAGGCCATCGTCCATCCTGTCCTTTCCAGGAAGGTGGACAGGTTACTAGGAGACATCTCCTTTATATTGACATATGTGGGCCAAGACTCGCCGAACACACACTCTCTTTAGCAACCTTGAGGTGTCTCATGGTGGCCTTCGCGAAGGTTTTGGAAGGTACTGTCGTTGCGCGGCTTCGTCAACCTTCCTGGGCTTCCCCTAGTGGAGGTTCCTGCGCCCGCCGCAGGAAGTGCCCTTGCCGTTGAAGGTTGAGTGAGGGAGAAGGAGGGTGCACTTATAGTTACTGCCACTCCTACCTCCTTCGCTCTCTTTCTCCTTTTGGCCTCACGAGGTGATCATCATGAGGTGATCTGCTATATCCAGCCTCATTCCAAGCGGTAGATTGGGGTGGACATTTCTGTTCATCCCCAGACACTGCCTTAGATTGAGGTGAGCACTTCTGTCCAGCCTCGGGATTGGTTTTTGTTTTTGTTGTTCCTGTTTTTGTGTCCAAGAGCGTCCAATGCATCCCCAAAAAGTCACTAGTTGGTGTGGAATTTGGGTTGGCAGCGGCATCTGTCCATATTTATTTGAGAACGACGTTGGCCAGGTCATCACTGTCAACGGTGAGCACTATAGGTAGATGATTACCAGTTTGGGGTGATTTGACTCCGTTATTCTTTCTCTTGTGGGTTTTTTTAAGCCGCAGGTGTATGCGAATGAGCCATAAACCACAGCGGTCCTCAATGCCAGAGTCATGGAAAACTGGACGTTTCGGATGCGCCCCAACCCAGAGAAGCCGCGGTGGATATTTGAACACAGTTATATTTCATATATAATGGCACCAATAGGTATTTCAAACGAACAACATTGTTCCATATTATCAAGAATCAAGTGTTTATACTATTCCCAATTTCAGGGCCTCCGTCCACTGTCAACACATGAATCCATGGGTCACCATTTGTTAGAAACTATAGGAAATTCAAGATTCGTTAATGATACTTATTGGGCGCATGCTGCAGTAGATAAAATTGGAAAGTCTATAATAATAATTTCATTGGAGTAAGTATCAAATCTGCTGAATACATCTGTTTTTGTGAAATATTTTTTTTAAAATGCCTCTTTTTCAATTATACAAAGAATTGATTTTTATTAGTTCACAATCTATAGCACTGGAAGTACCTGTCACATATTTTTCCTATGAAAAAAATGCAATGTACATAGTATTAATAGATAAAAAAATAAAACCGAGCTGGTAGACCTTACTCGAATAAAACCTGAAGTACCATACGTTTCGTCTGTTACTGGGGCAGACAGCATCAGTGGTACGTGCGCTGACTGTGAGGACGAAGGTTATATGTCGAAATCTCAGCGGCAACTGACTGGCGAGCTACGTGTTCACTCGTATTTATAACTTCAGAGGGTGATGCGGATGATGCTAGGGATGGAGGTGGAGCTGATGATGGGAATGGTGGTGGATTTATTCTTGAATACAACTTCGATCGGCATCCCACCGGCAGCAAAAGTGCGGACCAATCAGGAGTGAGCATTTGCATGAATATCACGCCCTCGCCCCACTACCATTCCTACTATCGGCCCACCTACTACCCCACGCATCACTTCCACCTGTATCTTAAATTATGAATGCGAGTGAACACATAACACATAGCTCGTCAGTGGTTGCTGGGACTTCCAGGTAGGTACACCCTTCGTTCTTGCAGTTAACGGTTATACCACTGATCATGTCAGCTGCAGTAGCAGACGAAACGTTTGGTACCTCAGGTTCCATTTGACCATGGGTCACCAACCAGGATTTCATTTTCTTTAATCGTGATTCCGGCGGTGAAAGTTAATTTTCTTTCATAATAATAACTATTACCATTTCCAGGCATGTTTTACGAATTAACAAATGCAGGCTGTGGGGACCCTGGGAGATAGAATGGTCGACAGATCTAGACGATATAGTTTCAATGCCAAAAATAAATTCTACAGAATTGGTACTGAATATGAGACAGGTACGTGAAAAATGAAATGAGTGACCTGAGTGAAAGGTCCAAGTGCTTTAAAAAATGTTAAATTAGGTACTTTATACTTTTTCATTATTTAAAAAAAATGGAAAACTTCTGATGAATGGAAGAGTGTGATCAACTTCAATAAAAATTAATTCCAAAGTTGTGTAGATCAAGCACAGAAGTTTTTTTCAAATATAGACTGAAACAAAAAGTCCAACCGGAACAATTACTATATCAAGAATATGAACTTTGAATCAAATAAATCACTGTCTCTTTTTTTTCTATAATTCACTGTTCAGTTTGGACTAACAAATTTTGTACGTGATCTACATATCTTTGTAATGTTTTCAATAGGGTTTATTTCTTCCTTTCTTCAGAAGTTTTTCACATTTTTGTTCAGAGAACCACAAATATTTTTCCAAAAAATTATTCTCTTCTAAAAATACTCCCTTTTTAATTCAAATTATCATTCACCTTCAACACCATAGACAAGCAGTATTAAAATTTGACATTTGACATCTCTCGAAACACAGACCACTTTTACACGAACATATAAAATCCGTTGTTATAACAATCGTGAATTTAACATCCACCGTTTGGAAAATATTTACAGTGATCTACGATAACTATACCTCAACACCTCTAGATTTATAAAACTCGTGCCTAACTTCTATCGTCACCATAAGTGGCTAATTATTCGTAAATTTGGCATTCGAGCTGTCAAAGGTTTTATCTTATTTCTACTATAAAATGAAAACCTTTGAATATTGTTCGTGATAGAGGAACTCTTTCATTTCGAAACCGTACTCGTTGAAAGACTGTGTCAGGAGCTCCATTGATTTTACTTTTTCAGAAATAAAACTTATTCTGAATAGGAAAATACTTGATCAACATAAATATTTTCCCGTCTAATAATTTGCTTTTTTGTTCGCAAACAGCGAAATCATATTTACATTGTAGACGTTCCGTTTCTTCGTTAAATTAAACATTTTTCAAAAAAGTCACTTTTTGATCAGTTTCAGTGTACTATACACAGAACTAAAGTTATAGTTATGTGGTACCATATCACTAAATCTTAGAACAGAGATTAAATCTGTGGTAGTGCTACAAAACTCAAGGATAGCAAATCAATGTTTTCCTGAGTTTGACATTGAAATCTACATATTACCTATCCCGTATTTCTTCCAAATACTTACATTTGATTTAGCCTTCTTTGAAATAGCATCACAATTAATCTTTTTTTTTTGTTCTTACAGTTCCATTAGTAATTTGTTGAGAATTTTTCAAAATTTCTGATATGTACAAAAAATTATTTTCCATATATCACCATCTACATCTCAATTTGATGACATGTATGAATCAATCGGAAGACTTTCTGGAAACTCAACTGTTCAAGGATTGAATTAATCGAACTCTTCCAAATGGGGTTGTCATCAATATATTGTAGATTTTCAGATAGCCTATATCATTTTCATGATTTTGAATTGTTTATTACTTTCTAGAATGATGTGAATACCGGCCGACTACAACAAATAAAAATATTTGGACAGAAAGAAATGCTTCTATGGTTACATGAGAAAATAGAACAAGCTATCATCGTCAGCATGGAAGATAAATCTTGGGCTCTCACTGAAAATCATTGAAGTTTATAATGCACCATTCAAAGAGTTGCCAATTTTTCAGAGTAACTTGTGAATTCTGTAACATGAAAACGGAGTAGTTGTCATATGTCAGATAAATTGTTACTCCAGAAATTCGTTGACGTTGGACGTTGTTGATTGTTGATATGTTGAATACCCTTCATTTTTCAAACTGGAGTTTATGTTCAAGTATATCTCTATCTGTAAGGAACTGTATTACTATAATTTAATTTCACAAAAAGAATGTCATTGAGGGTGGATTCATGTACTGTCATAAATTGCATTTACCAGTTACCACTTAAGACTGGTACATGAATCCGCCCTTATATGAATTTCCTTGAGTAGGTAAAGTAAATATAGAAAATTGTATGATATACTATTAATTTATCACGAAATAAGCAGGTTATATGTCATAAAATGAGATATGCTGGGTATTTCAACTAGTATTCCAAAGAACTGAATTGACATATGTGAATCGAAAGATAACTTTTGACATAAATGACAAGGTCATTTGATAAAAATGTTAAATGTTTGTATATTTCATTGTAATTAATGTAATATTGAATTCATGCAAATAAATCTTAAATATAGAAAATTGTATAATATACTATTAATTTATCACGAAATAAGCAGGTTATATGTCATAAAATGAGAAATGCTGGGTATTTCAACTAGTATTCCAAAGAACTGAATTGACATATGTGAATCGAAAGATAACTTTTGACATAAATGACAAGTTCATTTGATGAAAATGTTAAATGTTTGTATATTTCATTGTAATTAATGTAATATTGAATTCATGCAAATAAATCAGTTGTATAAATGTATACCTAAATGAGTTTTTGTTCAATTGTGATTCTATTTATTTCAGCTGATAACTGAACAGCATGATGGTAATATCCAATTTTCTTCAAACAAGAGATACTGAATGTTGATTGACTTGTAATGAAATATAAATGAGAAAAATACAGAATAACAATTATGAACACATTCACAAGATATTTTTAAGCAATATTAAAAGACTCAAAAAAACGACTCAAAAAAGCTACTCATTATAGAACCCAAAACACTAGCCTCTATAAAATTACCCAATATTATTAGTCAAGTCTTGAAACATATCTACCTATTTAAAATAACTTCCAGATATAAACTGGAAAAAAAACCTCATTATACAAAATAAAAAAACAACCACTTTTATATGAACATTGAATTATACAAAAAAAAAACCTTTTCCCATTCAGTTTATACTCCAAACATCCGTTGTAGAATTGAACAAGATATTCACAGAATTGCTACACAATGTAGTATATGAAAGAGTTGAAATTTCACTTACATGGAACACCACAAATATCAGCTAGTCATTCCAGATAGGATCAAGCGTTTGTTAAAAATATTTCGATCTGTTGACTCTGATCACTTTGTATCAATCCAGAACTGCTCGCTGGCCGGGCCACAATTCTGTGGACGGGGACGGGTCCAGATTTTTAAAACCGAACGTACCTGTTGTGTAGTGTTCTGTCAGTTCTGTGGTGAACGGAGGTAACCTAAAAGTTGAAAGGTGTTGAATGTAAATTTAAAAAAATAAAAATGAATGAATTAAAATAATTACAATTCTAGATTATATTCATATCATGTATATATCAAGAATGCTGGGTTTTGGGTTTTATTCATCATGGATGAATATATGATATTAGTGAAATATTTAATGATTATTTAAACAGAGAAAACTTAGTTTCTGATTTAGTAAGTATGGTTGAAGGATTTCTATTTAAACTATGATATGATATGTTCATATTGTCGAAATCAGTAAGTCAGATACCAAATCAGATGATTATTGTCATACTGAATCAAATCCAAACATCCATATCGGGTTTATTGCTATGAATACTGTCTGAATTCAATGAATCTTGTGTCAAATTTTTTGTATAGTTGCATCTAATAAAAACTTTTTTTTTCTCACCAGAAGAAAAATGCTATCCCTCAAAGTGTTGTTAAGATCTAGATTTTGTATATTTTTATTTTTCTTTTAACTTCACTATGTAGATTTGCTTTCAAAAAAATCACCATCATCTATATCACAATGTTTTTTCTGTGATTTATTACTTTCCAGGTCCACTTCTTTGTTTCAGTTTTTCAGATTCATAGTAGATAGTAGACCATTTTTATCACTTAATAAAAATCTTCATCCTCTTTTGTTTTTTTCCAGTAATATTTTTTGTCAAATGAATTGCAAATGAGTAAGACAAAAAATCAGACTGGTTAAAGAAATACCTCTTTTTACATAAATGAAACGGTGTTGTAGGTATGTACTTTACTCACCTTTGAAAGATTGACTATATTATAGTCAATCAGTAGTTAATGATGGTTTTATTGGAACCTGATAGATACTGTGAATTCTTTTTACACTTTTCTGAGAGGAAACGAAACTATTTATATTGAGCTTCTACTGAAAATGACATTTTTTACGAAAACTTGTTTCTCCGTACATTTTTTCCTGGTCTGATAAAATAATAATCTCTTACCTTCTTTTTTAATTCTTTGATGTATCGATTCATCATTCTCTCAGAAGCAAGGACAACGATAGTTGTGTGTTTTCATATTTTTTTCCTCAATATAAGAAACGCTGCCAGTTGAAAAACATTTCATAACTCTTAGCATGACAGACATACATGGAGGTGTTGAAAAGCCTCTCTTCAAATTGCTGCCCTTACTTCTCTTAGGACAATTTGCCCCAGCCCACAACTTAAATTATCTATTATAATGGTAACATAATCTGGTGTGCCTCGGGGCTCCAACCTATCCTCTTTTGTTTTTATTGTTTATTAATGACTTATGTGAAAGTTTTGCTTGTGAGCGGTTATGCTTCGCGGATGACTTGAAATTATTTTCTATAATTAAGGAAGTAGGTGATTGTGTAAATCTTCAATCTCAATTAGAATTTCTTGTTGATTGGTGTAGCAATAATAAATCGAAACTCAATGTGGAGAAATGTAAAGTAGTGAGTTTACCTAGGGGTTATATTCGATCATAAATTAACATTTGGTAGACATATTTCACAAAAAGTTTCAGAATCTCTCATTGTTAGAAATTGCAGAAACTTTCATAATATGAAAGCCATGAAGCTGGTGTATTTCACCTAGGTAAGTTCGAAGATAGAAGATGCAAGTATCATCTGGAGTCCATTCTATGAGATTCATAACATAGCTATTGAAAGAGTTCAAAGAAAGTTTTGTAAATTTCTAATTTTCAGAATAGAATGGAACTTTTTAGTTTAGAGCATCGCAGAAAATGTGCGTCGCTCATATTTTGATTCAAGTTAGTGAATGAGAGAGTTGACTGTCCTAAAATTCTTGAACAAATTAACTTCAATGTACCACGGCCAGCTTCACGATCTCAATCCATTTTAAGACCTCTCAGAGCAAGAACTAACATTATGCTCAATTCCCCAATATATGTTCAATATATGTTATGTGCACAAATTTCAATAGAATTTGTGCCCATGGTGATTTATTCTTTACTAACCTCTACAACATTATCAGTATTGCTAACATGTACTTGAAGTAGGTAATAAGAATTAGTTTTTCTTTTTTGTTCATTTTATTTTTTGTTTATGGTTAAGTATTGTAAATAAAATTTTATATTGTCCTGTAAATAGGTAACTGTTGGACAATAAAGCTATTATTATTTTTATTATTATCATAATCTAGTAGTACTTGAAATCTGAACTAAAGAAAACTACTAATTGTAATATGACACTACTTAAGATTTGTCGAAAGATTTTGTTTTCAGAACCACCTCTTATTATGTTCTGTGCATTCCATTTATGAGTAAATACAGTTTATTTTGTTGAATCTAAAAAAGTACTGTTTAATCAAAGTAGCTAAATCTCCCTGAAAGGAAAATGTTTTTTTCTTCACTGTCAAGGTCGACTCTTGTTTCAAAAACTGAAATTTACTTCTCCAATTTCAAATGAATCTCAATCCCCAAACCTAAACTAAAATTCAAAAAGTTTCAGTCCTTCACACCTTTTGTAACATCTATCCTGGGACACACTGTATAGTTGTTAATACACTTTTCAATTTGTCAAACTTATCTAGGTATAGAATAATTTTGAATATTTAACGTAATTTTAAAAACACATTCAAATCAGTCATTTGACAATACAGTGATGAATTTTTATCTTATTCTATAGTTAATGTATACTACAACCTTCTATATTACTGTGATATATGTATGTACTTATGTTAGCTAAGTGACGTTATTCGACATCCAATATGGCGGAATAGTTAGTTTTGATGTACTCCCAGAATATGGGATTTAAATGGAAGGTTTTGCTGAAAAGACTATAAAAAATAAAGTAACGTTATTCTAAATCCAATATATCAGAGCGCTCAAAATGGCGGACTAGTTATTTTTTATAAACTCATGAAGGGGTTCAAGAGGGAAAAAACAAAATGGCGGGAAACAAGATAGCCGCCATACCAATTCAATGATTTCAATTCGGCAAAGATGGACTGTTTTGGTGGGGCCCGAACATATGTTGTAGGGATCAACCTTGCAACAATGATGCATTAAATGAAATTAACAGACCAAGAAATGCGTCCAGCTATATTTAAAAATTGAAACATAAATTTATAATGAAAAACATTTTCAAAAACAAGCTTTTATTCACATGCTCGAAAATGGAGAAAAAAAACAATAAATTAAATCAAACCCATGAGGTTTAGAGCGAGATTTACCTGTAAAGATAAACAAGAATACAATATTTAACTTGACCTTGACCTAAATCATTTTAAGAAAAAATATTAATTTTTTATAAAAAATAAAATTCAATATATTGATTGTGTAATATAATAAATTGATGGGTTTGAGTTGATTCAAGATTCTCTTCTTTTCAAAGATTGTTTTCAAAAACGTTTTTTCACTATCAGTTCATTAAATTATTTTTCAAATATGTCTGTACTAAATGACCTATTTTTCACTGTTGAAATTTCACATAAAAGTGAGAATGATAAATTTGATGATGAACTATAATCCTCAATAAAGAGGGAAGATAAAACTCCTATTTATAATTGGTTCAATACCCTGTACATAGGTAGTTAAATTCATTGCAATGAATCAATGTAATACTCCACAAAATGATTTAATTACAATTCTTTCTGTCGAAAATAGTGTTTGATCTACTGGCGCCCCGCCAAACATATGGATCAAGCTAAAAATAACTCTTTATATACTTGTAATATATTTCAGTTCTGATAGCGAGTCAGTTGTTACTTTTACTCGACATACCTCGCGGGTTTTTTCCTATTCAACCAATGGCATTGAGTTGATACGTCCTCAAAATCATGGAAATTCGCGACCGATACTCTAGAGGCAGTTCTCGTAGCCGGGGCTCATCCTCAGCAAGCGAGATCGACCCCAGAGAAAAAATAAAAGATTGCTGCAGAAAAATTATAGCCTTCATGTTCACCCAAATCGGTATGGGAGTGTTGGTGTTCGGATACACTCTGGTAGGCGCAGCAAGCTTCATGCATATCGAAAAAGACGGGAACAACTCTAAACTTGAAGAAATAGTCAAGATCAGAGCAGATTATGCCTTAAAGTTGTATGATGCAGCAGTGATTTACAACATCTTCGACCAGAAAAACTTCACTGCTGAAGCAGGAAAGGTGCTCAAGACATATCAGGACACAGTGGTGAAGATTCTCAGACACGGTTATGATGACAGGAAAATGGTGGAAGTATGGACGTTTCCAGCAGCTTTAATGTTTTCACTGAGCATCATAACTATGATTGGGTTTGGAAACCTTGTACCAAAAACCAAGTACGGGAAGCTGGCAACCATAATATACGCCTTGATAGGCATTCCACTCTACGTGCTGTATTTTTTGAATGTGGGAAATGCGCTTGCAGGCGGTTTCCGTTGGTTGTACAGGAAACTTTACGAGTGCTCCACAGAGATCGATGAAGAACAAGGAGAACTCCCGAAAAGGATAATCGTGCCTTCCACCGCTTGCCTTTGGGTGATCGTGGCGTATATCCTGACAGGGGCCATCATGTTCTTCACCTGGGAGGGCTGGGACTTCTTGGACAGCATTTATTTCTGCGTCACCAGCTTGTGCAAACTCGGGATGGGGGATTTCGTCCCGGGAGCTAACTATGCTTCGGCTGATAAAGGAAATCAGACAAAGCTCATGATTAGTTATGTTTATATATTTTTTGGATTGGCGCTGGTCGCGATGTGCTACAATTTGATGAGGGAAGAGATAAGGGAGAAAGTTAGAGAGATCAAGGAGGATTGCGGGCAGTGCTTAGAAGAAACTAAGATGAGGTTGGTGAGGTGTTGTCATCGAATACGAGGTACCAGAGAGGTGTACTATTAACCAGCTCGTGTGTACCTTGTTAAGACAATAAGCTTGTTATTATTTTTCAATGGGGATGGGGTAGGGGCATCGTGACGTTTTTAAAGAGAAATAGATCAAAAAAGTAGTGTGGTACAAGAAACAAGGAATATTGCATTATGTTCAAGATATAATCAGGTAATTAGTATTTATTGAAAAAGTATGATTTTACGAATTCTTTATTAACTATTTATTGAAACAGATCGCAATATATTGATGAAAACGTTTTGAGGTGTTCAATTTTTATAGTTTTTGTAACTTATTATGTGACAAATGTATGTATACCTTTGACAATAAATATTCTTATATAATTCTTAATCCTGTAAAAGAACTGTATTTGAAAATAGTTCAGGAAAAGGAAAAAATTCTTATTAATTCAAAAAGAAAACAATAAATTACAAGGTGAAAGCTACTACATTATAATTATACTCAAGCGTTGATTTTTATTATTAAAAACTTGGGAAATGTTCAGTTCAAACCTTTCAAGTTTGCAATACATGTGATTGTGTGAAGTCGAATATAACAGGGATTAACACTGAAAACTTATTTTGACTGTAAAATCCATTTTTCACAATAAAACCTCAACTCTATTGACAAACTATTATTTTTCATTATTATCAACAGTTTCATCTGCTAATAATGAAAATGTCTTCGGCTTTTGGCAATCCCAGACTAAGGAGGAACAATTTGACCAACTTTGTCCAAACTTGGTGCAACATTTATATGATTTTCAAGTGAATTTTGACCAGAGTTTTGTCGTTTTCTATCTTCAGATGGCAATTTCATTTCATAACGCAAATGGTGCTGCTCGTTTTCAATAACCTGTAGTACTGAAGATTATTCTGTAGTTATTCTACATAATTTTACAAAAGTTCAGTAAATATCAATAATACCCAACAATATTTATTTTCCATTTAGGATACATAACGTACTCATGTTCACGAATAAATAAAAGTCCTATTTATTATACTACCCACAAAACAATGCCACAATACACAAAAATAGGACCATGAAATAAACAAAATCAAAATATTACCCCATTTTGAATATACCACTTCCTATAAGCTGTGAAAACAAATAGAACACCACATCTGTAACCCCACAGCTTTCAATGCATACCGCAGTTGTAGACGAAACGCCAAGCATTAAACTGCCGACCACAGCTGTCAACAAACTCGGAAAACAGGGTACCTACAGTTATTTTCAGCGAAAATTTTACATTATTTGCAAATTACAGTTGTATGCAAAAAAACTCCTTTCTATAACTTCTACTTTACATATTAAAAAACAATTCAAATAAATCATTTTCGATCAGAAGAGCTTCAAAACGCTCTTAGGTTTAAGACGTGAACCGTTATAGGTGTAACTATATGGTTCTTTTTTGTGGGTACAATATCGTTATTTTTCTAGTAAGATATGCGTGTATATGACTTGTCAGAACAAGTGTCTAAAAATAATATTTATTTATTTCACCCTAACAGGCCTATTAAATTCTCAACATAATATTTACCTTTATAGACATATCAACCAGTTATTTTTCAGGTATTGAGTGATTACCTGGAAGATGAATGGTTTTCAACGTATCCCTTTCCTTATGAGACTGACTAAAGTTGCTGGTTTTGGAGAAAGACTTAATGATATAGTGTATGGATCACCAACAAGAGTTGCGGAGAAACCAAGTATTGTGGTATTTTTTGGGGGAGATGTTCAGGTAAATTGATTAATTTTAATTCTCTGAAATTCAACAAGGAATTGATTACTAATTCATTTAGTGGTAATTTCAGGATTTCACAGAAAACATGCTGAGTAACGGAAAAAATAAGGAGTATGTGAAATGGAACTTGGAAAATACTGCAAAGCTGTTGCAGTCAACTTTTGCTGAAAGCCACATTGTTGTTGTGAAACCTGCTAGGTGAGGTTTATTGCTGAATGATATATCTTTTGTTGATGTTTCAGACATATTCAGATTACTTCGTGAGTTTCATACCTTCATCATAACATCGAGACTTAAGAATCATATGACGTTGCCGCATTTTAGGAAAGAACTGGATACATTCAGCTGTTATATAAATTTTGTCCCAAGCGTCAATCATGGCATTCCAAATCATACACCAATGCATAGTAGTTTGGAACATTTGGAAAAGCTACTAGTCAATGTTCAAGAACGCTTAAAAACAATGACAGAACAAGAATTGTCCGTTGCCATGGAGCTTTCCAATAAAAACCTTATAAAGGAGAACTTGGTACAGTAATTCATTCCACATTTATTTTTGAAATTCAGTGGCTTTGCAATAAATTCGAAAATTTAATTTGCAGTCGGTTGGTACATTAGTGAGGATGCATTAATGAGTGGTCTGTCTGTCAGTCAGTGTTTTTTTAAAATAAAGTAATCACGATTATTCTGCTTGATTTGTGGTTTTAATAGTATCTGTTTAAAAGAAAACAGTGTGCATGAAAGAAGGTAGGACCCTCTGAAAGGAAAGTTACTTGTGGTGTATGGCAAAGTTCAGTAATTAGACCTGTAATATATGTGATTTATATAAACCCAACTGATTTTGACATAGAGGAAAAATTAAATGATTTGCTGATGTATAATATTTGAGAAGTATTAGGTGAGATGATATGTTCAAAGGCCGACACACAGATGGCGCTACTAGTAATTGATCCATATGATTTTTTAGTAAGCCCTAACCTTCAAAAAGCACATACAAATTTCACAACTGCCGGACTATTAGTTTATTGGATAGAACATTTTGAAGTGAAGCAATTTTTAAATTTATACATCAGTTATTGCTACGGGAAATAATATGTCCGAGCTCTCAACAAAAGCCCCAACTGTTTCACTAGGGATGAGCATGTGGTGTGAAGAAACCTTGCTCAAGTTGAATGTTGAAAAAAACGAGCCTAATAACTTTCAGTAAAAGAAACAACTTTGAGGAATCCCCATATGTAAAACTCAAATGCAAATCGATTCCAACATCAGATGATATAAGATTCCTAGCTGGGAAACGCACATAAACATCTGGAATAGTAGGCTGAACTCCATCTGTGGAGTTATACGATATCTACGGGGGACCAAGCATCTGTCAGTTGTTGGAGGACATATTACTATGCTCGTGTTCAATCAATTATTTCCTATGGGATCATATTTTGGGGCTCTTTATCAAGCTCACAAAGAATATTCGTAACACCAAAGAAAATGATAAGATGTATATCAACATTGGATCGTAATACTTCATGTAGGACATACTTTGAACTTGACATTTTGACAGTGCCTTCGCTGTATTTCGTGGGCCTTGTCAACTTTGTAAAGAAATATCCCCACCTGTTTCCTACAAAAACTGATCAATATTCTGCAAATATGAACCTCAATACTAGACATCGAAATGAGCTCTGTTCCTTACCATAAATCAACATATTATGAGAAAGATCAACACTACCAAGCAATCAAGGCATATACCTCACCACCCCAAGTATTGAAAGATATTACGGGCCTCAAGAAGTTCTGTCATAAGTTACTTGAAGCAGAAATGCTATTACTTTTTTGATTGTTGCATTTAATAATCATGTATATGTGCTAAAATTAGTCTCAGGTAATTTTTCAATTGTGTGATGCAATAAACATGTATGTATGTTGGAATGTGTAAATACATTTTAACTTGTTTTTTAACCTGACCCTGACTTTGCTGTGTCCTGTGTTGATCGTTTTGCAATAAAAGTATTATTATTATTACTATTAATTTACTCTTTTGTTACTTGCTAAAAATACTCCTAGTATTGCCAATGAAACTCTGTCTTATCGTTTTTCCAGGATGGAAAATCAGAACTCCAACAAGAAAATTTGACTCAGCTGAAGGTAGACCAAAATGCGTTTTCAAATTATGAACTGAAATTGATTGGCTTCAGCAAAGGTTGCGTTGTGTTGAACCAGTTCCTTCACGAATTTCACTACTACAAAACATCTAACAGTGTCACCACCTCCGGAATAATAGCTAAAATAAAAGACATGTACTGGCTAGATGGGGGCCATGGCGGCAGTTCTAAAACCTGGATGACAACGCGCTCGTTATTGGAAACTCTTGCAGATTTAGGTATGATCTTTGTTACAATGAATTTTCTTTCGAGGACTGAGGTTATGGAAATAAATACTGCTATTCTTTCAGTTTCCACATTTACAGTTGAAATATTTTTGCTGGCGGAATCCAATTCAAAATTGCCACTGTTGACAACTTCTGATAAAACTCATAGCTAAATAATAATTTTCTAGGAATAAACATCCATGTTCATGTCACTCCATACCAGATGGAAGACAAACGTCGGCCTTGGATGAAGAAGGAGGAAAATATTTTCAGTAGAACTCTCAGAGAACTTGGAGCTCCCATTTCCCATAAAACTCATTTCAGCGGGGTTGAACCCGACCTGGACATGCATTTCAATGTTCTCAAGGTATTCGGAATAGGTTAACAGAAATTACTTTTCAAGCATATATTTGTAAATAGATGGCTGTGCTGAGTGAAATTAACTTGATCTGCAGAGGAAGAAGAATGGAAATCAACTATTCAGTGAATAATACAAAGGCTTCATACAATTCATGTTGATATTGATCTTAAAGGCTTATATAAATTAATTTTTTTAATACAATTCCATTCAATCAAAATCCTGATTTTTATTTGTCTTTTAGGGCAAAGGTAAATGTATGGCATTTCCAGAAGAAAAACTTCTAAAATAATGATTCATTTCCCAATGAGCATAATTCAACGGAATCTCTATATATTAAAGTTGAACTACTAAAATAATTTATGAATACTAAAATTATAAACTAATAAGTAAAACCCATTATAAGTTTCCCTAGGTTGTTTTACAAGAGTTGCCAATTTCATTTGAGTTACCCATTGTTACAAGACAAAATCATGATAATGCTTGTAAGAAATTTAGACAGAAACGTGGAGGAAAAACAAAATCTTTGGAATACCTACAAAATATATAGAAATGAAGTTAATAACAGTCTTGGATTGAAAAGAAAACATTATTACGATAAGCAATTGATTCCCATTATGGATGTTCTAAACAAATGTAGAGAACGCTAAAAGAGTTGATTCGAAATGAAAATCTTGCATTCACAACTCCAATTAAAAAATGTAATTTAGTGATAGAGTAGTGATTGCGAAATCTTACTGTTTCAATGAATATTTCATATTGAATGTAGGTGATATAATTGATAACATAAATAATCATGAGGAATGGTTCCGCCAATCATCTCCCAGAAATAAAAACTTACCTTAAAAACTTTAGTAAAATAAGCCTAAAGGAACTTAAAAATATAATTGCTACTCTGGAAAATAAAGGTAGTATACATGATGTTTTGAATGTTCAAGTAATAAAGAATACCAGACACTTGTGGTTTTCGCACCTATTAAATTGTATTAACACATCCTTTTCGACAGGAATATTTCAAAATGAGCTAAAAACATCCATTATAATACCCATTCCAAAAGTCAAAAATTCAAATGCTGCAATGAATTTCAGACCAATCAACATGTTACTAGATGTTGAGAAAGTGACTGAAAGAGCAGCATATAACCAACTCATTGAACATAAATATTAAGAATATCTTCTTAGGAAACCAGTCAGGTTTTCGTAGTAAACATTCTTATGAAACAGCCTTACAACTGACAGTTACTAGTTGGAACCAATTGATGGATAAAAAAAAGTATATCGTGGCAGTGTTCATTGATCTGAAACAATAGATAGAGGCATTCTAGTACNAAAGTATATCGTGGCAGTGTTCATTGATCTGAAACAATAGATAGAGGCATTCTAGTACAGAAATTAAAAACATGGAATTAAATAGGTGTCCCACAAGGTAGTGTAATTGGACCGCTACTAGCTTCTCAAGAATAGCTGCTCAAATATCTATGAAAGCTGGATTGACAGTTTCTAATAATATCATTACACTGCATTTTGATTATTGTTCTACAGTACTATTTCTATTAGACAATAACAGTAAAGCTTCTCCTAAAATGTAAAAGATATAACCCATAATCTAGAGACTTTACAGTGGCAATCGGTAACCAAAAGTTTGAAGCCAACCTATTTCAAACAGTTCATCAAGTTCAATCATGAGATCCTCGAACACTGTACTAGAAGTGCAAACAATTTTCATGTTGATAGAGCGATTACCAGAAAAGGTATGAACTCACTATTCGTACAAAGTTTAGTTGAATATAATTCCCTTCCAAATAAAATTAAATCATGTGATACACTTGTAGCTTCTAAGAAAAAACTCTCCAAGATATCTGTGATTGTTATGAATGTAGTTGTATTGTATTATAGATTTTCAGCTGAATTGAGTCAGTTATTGTATAGTGTTGATATTTGGAGTATCTCAATCTTACTTCGTTTATTGTTAACAATGTATTTTATTCTAAATTTATACATGGATTCATTTATTGTATCGTGTTTTGATGTAGTATTTATTTAATAATCATTTATTGTAGAATTTGTACCATGTATTATGAATATTACGATTATTCCTATTCAATAAAGACTACTTACTTACTGTATTCGTGATAATATTGGAGAATGATTTATCCTAACGGTTATCTGTTTAAAAAATCTGTTATAAAATGGGACTTGTCATCCTGGTAAGTCGAAGCATAGATAAAGATAGATAAATAGATTTTATTCAAACTGCATTCCAAACAGGTTTACATCCGATTATATGTATACAGTCAATGTCATGGTACATAAAATATATAATTTTACAATACACAGAGTAAATAAACACCTAAAATTACATACAAGAGAAACATTAATAAAAACAGGTATATATGGCACATTTTTTTAACGACTGTCTCATTTCTAATTCATCACAGCAAAAACAATCAAGACTTTGATGACTTACGACTAGATCATTCACTTGCCTAAGGCAGCGATTGAGTGGAGACTCTGATCGGGTGTCTGCATAGAAAACCCTATTGTGATTTCTTAGACTAGCACTAGGAATATGAAGATCATCTCCATTATCTGAATAAATATGTTGAATATAAAGAGTACATCATTCAAGCTTCGATGATCCGACAGGTATAGATTTTATTTAAACTGCATTCCAAACAGGTTTACACCCGATTATATGTATACAGTCAATGTCATGGTACATAAAATATATGATTTTACAATACACAGAGTAAATAAACACAGGTATATATGGCACATTTTTTTAACGACTGTCTCATTTCTAATTCATCACAGCAAAAACAATAAAGACTTTGATGACTTACGACTAGATAATTCACTTGCCTAAGGCAGCAATTGAGTGGAGACTCTGATCGGGTGTCTGCATAGAAAACCCTATTGTGATTTCTTAGACTAGCACTAGGAACATGAAGATTATCTCCATTATCTGTATAAATATGTTGAATATAAAGAGTACATCATTCAAGCTTCGATGATCCGACAGGGTTATCATGTCAAAATGTTCTAGTTGAGTTCTACAGGAGATCATAGAGGTAGACTCTTTATTTTTTTTTAAGTAGATGTACCTAAGAAATTTCTTCTGTATTTTTTTTATCATCTCTGAATGAAATGCGGATTCCAGATATGTTGAAGCGTATTCGAGCTTTGATGTGACAAACGCATTGATTAGAAGAATTCCTAGTTCCCATTTGAAATCCCTGGCGTTTCTGAACACAAAAACAAGCTTTCTGTTTGCATCATGTACAATATATTCTATGTGATTTCTGAAGTTACTATTAAATATGACTCCTAAATCTTTGATTTGAGCAAGTTTTTCCAGTTCGGTGCCATTTATTGAATATTCCGTTGGAGTAATAACATTTTTCCGTGAAAAAGACATAACTTTGCATTTACCCTCATTCAGCATCAAGTTGTTCGTCTCACAAAAGATAGTGATAAAATCTAAGTCTTTCTGAAAGTTTTCCCTGTCTCTTTCATCGTTGATAGTTTGGTATAGTTTAAGATCATCTGCATAGAGTAGGAATCACCTATATATATTGTTAATGAACATAATAAATAAAAGTGGGCCTAGAATTGATCCCTGAGGAACGCCAGAGGTTGGTCTGAATAGTGTCGACCTTTTTCTATTGAAAGCAACAAATTGATTTCTATCTGATAGATAAGACTTCACTAATGTTATTATTGATTGATTCATTGAGAATTTCTTTAATTTGGCGATGAGAACTCCATGGTTCACTTTGTCGAATGCTTTCGCTAGGTCTGTGTAGATTACATCAACTTGTTTTCCAGTATTTATCGAGAGTGCTACGTTATTGCTGAACACCATGAGATTTGTTACTGTTGATTTTTTATTAACAAAACTGTGCTGTTCTCTGCAGATAGTGTCTTCAACATGGGCATATAGGCAAGCATATATAAAGGCAGTCTAAAGCTAGCTTCCGCCATGGAAATATTTGTTATGATAAGTATATTTTTGGGGTTGATTCGGTGTATATATTATTGAGAGAGAATCTAACGGTCATGTGTCTTTATAGCTCCATATCTCAATAAATATACTGTATATACTGATCGTCAGAGAATTTTGTACTCTATACATTGATTCTGTTCATTTTTTCCAAATTCCTCTTTTAATATGTCACTAAACGATTTTCGGCCATTGTTTTCCTACGAATACATATTGAAATTGAACCAAAGCGCTGCTTTCAGAAGAGGTCCGATCCTGCTTCACCATTCGAAAATTGAGCTTTGAAGTTCTGTCACACCCACCACATCGACTTATGTTATAGATTCAAGAACTTGTGTTAAAATAACATATATTCAATAACATTCAGAGGAGAAAAATAATATATATCTATGTATTGAGGAAAGTAGCTAAACATATTCTGCGATCCAACATAAGCTGTTTTCGTTAACATATACATGTTATACATTCAAATAATTATGATACAACATATATATTGGTCTAATTAGCCAGTGATGAATATGTTTAAAAAAAAATGTTTTTTCCGTTAACTAGATATGGCACCCTCAGAAGACGAAACTTTTGCGAACTAAGGACTAACGAGGTCTTACCTTTTAAAATGTGATTCCTAACACGGGTTGGACGATAACAAGTGAAAATCGCGCGTTCAGCCTGGAACTTGAACCATCGACTCACACATTGGCCGATTGACTGAATGAACAAAGCACCCACGTCGAACCGCCAGGCTACCGACATTAAACTATCATGTAGTTTAATGTTTTTAGTGCAAATATCAAGTAACTGGTGTCAAAGGAATCCTGCCGATTTTCGGTACCTTAAGTCACCATGTTTAGGTGTATGTATCCCAAAGACAAACTTGCCCTTGAGAGTTTTTGAAGGAGAAGGTCTTGTCCTTTGTTCAGTTTTTGCTAGTTTTGTCTTTTGAGGAATACTTTTGTCCAGTCGCTTAATAAATTTATAATTTAGGAGAAGAAACCATCAGAAAACGCCATTCTCCCTTTTTTTTTTCTTAACAGGTTCCACCACACCAGTGAAAATATTTCAACGGAATCTTACTTCTTTTGGGAGACAATGGAGACTAATTAAGGTGTAAATGACAGAATCAAGATATTGAGAGAAAATAGATTTAGAAGACGGAAATATTTTTTTTCTGTAGAACATCTTCAGCATTCCTCATCCGCTAAGATGAATTTTCAAAATTCACGTATCAGCCATATGATTTATTGCTGAAATTTCCAATTATTATGCATTGGCTGGAACTGCTCCTTTTCAAAAAAACACTCATGATATTTTCTCAAACTTTAATTTTACCGAGATACAAAAAAATCAATTTAATAAACTAAATTATCCTATCTCCAACTTTTGGTTTAAATATTATTTACAAGCTCTTAAGCTATGAGGTAATATTACTTATAAACACAAAATTTGATTGAATTATCTCTGAAAATTGTATTGAAATTACAGCTGTACAATAATATGATTATTCGGAGGGCTCCTCTGTCTTGAAATAAAAAAAAAACCTTATTCTATTGACAAAACCTTGTCAAAACCCTTTATCAAGTATTACAAAAAAGAATTGCTTTACAATTCTCTAAATATTCTCAAGTTCTTTCTAAATGAAGTGAAAAGACACTTCACAACATAACAATATCGAGGATTTGACCAACATGCAAAACCTTCCAGGTCTCAATAATGTCTCCTGCCCCTTCCCTCATCATCCCTGTGTCTGTGTGACCTGTGGGGGCTTCTATCCCTACTGTAGCTCTTGTGTCTTGGTGGACTTCTCTGTCTGACAGGGCTGCGGTCCTTCAGCTTCCTGTCTCTGTCTCGCCTTTCGAAATCTCCACCTCTATCCCTCCTATCGAATCTAGGATCTCTGTCTAGTCGTCTGTTATCGTCTCTGAGAAAATCTCGTCTTAGGTCGTCTCGAGGCGGTCTTTGGTCTCTGTCTCTGTTGTTTGAGGTCCCTCTGTTGTCTCGATCGTAGTTGCTTCTGTCTTGTCTTGCCCGTTCTGATGCAGCCTGAACTGCATGAGGGGGAAAGCGACTCTGAAAATCAATTTATGCTTGAACACATTAATAATTCAACCATCCTTCTAGAAATGATAATCAGAAAAAGAAATCTTCACATACAGTAAGGGGACATACTTGAAGACTGGGTGCAAATCAAATTATCTAAAAGAACAATTCGTTCAGGCCAGTTTCAACTATTTAAAACTCAGAAAAACAAAACCTACTTACAAAAAAAAAAAGGTGAATTCGTAAAAATAAATTCTGACTAGGTCAAAAAATATCAACCCATCTCCAAAGATTTTTTTTACCAGGATAAAAAAGTGGAATGCATTTCTTCAACTTAACCTTACCTCTAAATGTTTTTGAATTTTCTGTTGAATTGGAACAGGTATCCTGGGGAAAAGTGTAGAAAACCACTCGAGCTTAACCAACCACTGTCTCAACATCAATCCTATTGTCATCGTCTGGCCTCCGCCAGCTTTGACGTCTAATTCCTGTAACACTCAATATTAAAAATATCTGACATTTACCCTATTCCAATAAAAAACCTGAAAAAATTGATAGACTTCACTCTACCTTTGGTTACGCACCTCTTCGTCCTCCAAATAGTCTTCATACCATTCTAGTAAATTGGCGGGAGGAAAAGTGTACCGTATGTACATGAAACCTAGGGCACGGATAAATGGAGAGTCGCAATGACTGATGAGACCATTCAGCTGTTTCCTGGTGAGCTTCAACGTGAAAAGTTTATACAAAAGGCAATAAGCAGTCGAGACAATTCCACCAGCCCCTACTCCTCTAACACCACCACACATTCCTGTCTGTCCGGATGTTCGTCTCGAACCTTTTTCCCAAGGTTCCAAGTGACTGACTTTGTAATAAATTTCATCTATTACTTCATGGTAAGTTTTCAATTCATAAAGGTTCACTGAAAATTGATCAATTACCAACTGGTTAATATTTAACAAACAAACTTACCCTTAAAATAATGAGAACTCTGGATATTTGTCAATATCAAAGGATTCAAATTCATGGTTCTTTCATTGCCCCAAAGTGGCAAGATGTTACTTTGTTTGGATGTTTTTGTATGGGTACTTTCTGAAATAAAAAAAATTATTTGGTAGACATCAAAATTGATTTTTTTTTTACTATACCATCTTCACTATGCCCAGTTTTGGAGTCCATATTTATCAGAACGAAAACTACAATTGTATGTTAATGTTTGAAATCAAAATTATTCTAATAAACTTGAACTCAGCTCATATGTCATAACGCCATTTGCTGGACTAAACTGACAAGTGACAACTGGCAACTGGTATTCTTCTTCTTATTATATGGTCGTTGCTTCATTATTCAAGCGTATTTGACATTATTTGCATCGCAGAACTAAACATAAACATTTAACTGTTCGACTACTTGTAGCACAATCAAAACTGTTTTACATATTGTCATTTCAAAGTCAACCGCTGATAGAAGGCGTTTTTGTTAGAACTAATCCTATTCCAGATTGGTCTTTTTTCGGCAAAAGTTATTCTCTACTCGATGTTATTTGATCGATCAGGACAGCGGATAACTTTTGGCAAAAATGACCCAATCTAGAGGCGTTTGCTGGCGCTCATGTATTCAAAACGTATTCGTCTGTGATTCAAATACATTCATTCTGACGTGGGAACGATGACGTCACATCAACTGTGATTTGAAACATATTCATAATTCAAAACTAGCGTGGGGTTGGTTTCGAAACGGAATTTGACATTACGTTACATCAAATGTCAGTTTCTGGTTTATTTTGATCGTTCTACCCCCCCATAAATTCCTTATTGTTGGAGGGAGCGGTGTACCCTTTAGCTACTCGACGACTTTGGCTAGCCTACAAATGGGTAGCAAAACTGCGATACTTGAAGCATACCAATCACTTCCCCAGAAATTGAATCATTTTCTACTTCTCCCAACTCTTCCTTGTTTTATGATTGGTATGTACAATCTTGCCTCACCATTGCCTTTCACAGAATTTGACCTATCGAAGCAAAACGATAATGAAGCAGAATTCGCTCGATTGGCTAATTTAAAGTTTCCAAATTACACCCACTTCTATACGGACGGATCCAAGGATACCTCTGTCCGTGTAGACTATGGAATTTTCTTGCCAACTATTGCCGAAGTCAGTGCTAATCTTCCCTCCTACTTCTCCATATGTGCTGCGGAAATATGGGCCATTAAGGAAACACTACGCCTTATTCTTGATCAGAGTTTCCGACGGGTTGTGATTTTCAGTGATTCCAAAAGTGCAATTCTTAAAATAACACGAACTGCAATTTTGGCTCACAGTGACCTCTTATCGCTACAAACCAAAAGATATGTCTTACAGATGATTCACAGTGGCATTGCTATTGCCGTCGTGTGGATACCGAGTCATTGTTACATTCCTGGCAACGATACAGCTGACCGTCTTGCGTCGATGGGACGGTATATTGAGCCTACAAACCATCCTCAAGCCGATTTTCGTGAATTTCTTCCCGAGATAAGGTCGAATTTATGGATCAGCTGGTCAACAGAATACTCCCGACTAGGACAACACAAAGGCGTTACATATCACTCATCAATACCAGCTCCGTTGGAAAAGCCTTGGTTCAATACTTTCACGACATGCCCACGGGATATTATCACAACTATAACTAGAATGCGCAGTAATAATCATTGCTTAACTATGGCACACCTTCACAAAATTCGAATAAAGGAGCATGACAGGTGTGAGTGTGGGGAAACACAGGATTTGTGGCACATTTTCTTCGTGTGTATACAAAACCAAGCCAATATTCGTTCATTACATACCTTCATCCATAGGATGAACAAGCAACAGGGCCAGCTGTCGTTACATGATATTTTATTTGAACATTTGAATATTCATAACTTAAAAGCATTACATTCCTACCTTACCTCCTCCCACCTTAAGCTGTAACAGATGGAAATGCGCTGACAGTGTAGACCATTGACAATAGTTGTGCTTATCTTCTGAATAGACTCTGCCTACATTGCGAATAAACCTATGTGCTTGCTAGTGCGATGTCTTCGTAGTGCATGGACAACCATTGTTTTCACCTATATGATATAACTGGATTATTTTTAGCTTGCCGTGGCCACATTTGGATTTAACAACACGTTCGTTACCAACTGGCCGGATAGCCTTAGTTGCTGAGGCCATTGAATCGAAAAGAAGAAGAAGAATGTCTATTTTGATCGTTATTGTTTATAAAGTGCTGAAAATATTTCATAAAATACGTTGTAAAGATGTACAAAATAAAGCTGTATGCACAAATCCGATTTCAATTGAGGTTAGAGAAAATTGAAGAGTTCTTCTTCTTTTCCCATTAATGGATTCAGCTGCCAGTGCTATCCAGCCAGGAGTTCCAAAATCATGTTGCTACTACAGGTGGAGCACACACTGAAGTGGATCTGAGTCGGACCCAAACCCCACCTGGGTTAGCGCTAAAACAAAGTTCAACTGTAATTCGAAGTCAGTTAACAAACAATGTCGGACTGCACTAGAGTGTAAGCACTAATGTGAGGTGATGCACTACGGTTACGTGTATGGGCACTACGTTCAAGTCATGATTGACGAAGCACTGCATGCACATAAGTATTAGGCCTGTCTTGATCACTACAGCTTCATATTGGATGCAAAAAAATTGAAGTTTGTTTTTTTTATTGAATTTAACATCTGACACAAACTGAATCATTCCTTACTGGCGAATCTTAACATCACTACGAATCGTTTTTGAATACATGCTCGAATACGATTTATCGCCAAAAAACACCTTTATATGAGATCAATGTCAACAAAATATACCTGGCTGAGCTCCGCATAGTACAACAAGCGCAAAGTTACCATGATATGCTGCTAGTCTTTACAGACGGTTTTTTAATATTTAGTATTCAGTGACTTTGTGGTGGGAAAATACATCGTTAATAAAAAAGATAAATGATTTTGTAGTTTTGAATTACTGTTTTTTTCAATTTTTTCATAGAAGTTTAGGGATGAAAAAAGGAAAAATTTAAATGTGACATTGAGCTGATGCCTGATCTGTCAACGATTTTATGAAAACAAAATTTCTGTGAAAGTTCGGAGATATGTTCATGTTCATTATTTTAGAATTTTTATAAGTGTTTGATAAAGTCAAGAACTGTAACTGTTTGTTCATATTCTCATTGAATTAATCATTTTCGAAATGACTCAGTATATATAACGATTTACGTACATAAAATGGAAAGTACAGGTACTGATATTGAATTGGAATGGGTTGATCACACGAACTCAATATGGGCCTTAAAGAATTGCGACAATATAGCTATCAGAGACCTCGTACAATCAATGTACGAAGTCTTACTTCAAACGAAGGAAGTTCGACTGATTCCCACAACCGTATCTTCGTATAACGATATTCAAGTTATACCAAGCTTCCAAAATGAGCCACCTTCTGTAAATGATCTCAACCATTATATCATAACTTTACTCACTTCACAGCTGCAACTTGCCAAAGAAGTATGTTCCTCTACTCAATTTTCCTTGATGCTGAAACAAAGACTGTTGATTCTGAAAAGAATTTATTATGCATTACTCAAGAAGTACCACGATAAAGAAAAAGCAGAGCCTCAACCTGCCGAAGCAAGCACGAGCACTCCCACTGTTCCGATAGTCCCTAGAGATATCACCTCTGGATCGCAAGCACTTCTAGAGGTTGGTGTTAAAACAGGACTAAGCCTGTTATTTTCTCTTCTGCAGCAAAACTGGCAAGTCAGTGGAATTCTAGGAATTCCTTCTTTGTGTAACTCGGTTCTGGAAACAACTGTTGATTTAATTCAGAAACTGCCACCGTTATGCCTCTCTAATGATTCTCAACTCACAAGCTTAGGCACAAACAGCTTGGAACAAGTATGCAACTTTTTGAAAAATGCAGTGTTGCATGATAATTCGGCTGACGAAAAAGGAAAACTGCTAGCCTGTGAAATTTTACTGGGATTATCCCTGCAAAGAGGTTCCCTTCGTTACCTTTTAGATTGGATAGACATGGTTCTGGAAGCTTCGTGTAGAGAAGTTGTACTCTCGAGTAAACTTGCAAAGAAAGCAATTGCTCATCTGGAAGGGGGCAAAAGCCCTTCAAGAGAAGAGGGTGAGGAAATGGTTATTTACAAAGCTGCTCTTTGTTTGATGGAAGTTTTGGTTTCTATGGCTATTGATTATGGAGGAGCCTGTTCTGCCATGGAACCTTCTGCTGCTGAAATGGAAATGGCAGCTATGGAAAAAAGCGAAGTTTATGTTTGGGGGAGTAACTCGTCACATCAGTTGGCTGAAGGAAACCAGGAGAAGATTCTGGTTCCCATAAGATCTAAAATTTTCAATCAAGTACAACAGGTATTATGGTTTGTTTGATTAAGCTTTATACAAGTGAATTTAACTCATACATTGTACCAGTTAATCATTAATACGAATGTCTCGTTTTATAGTATTTGACAACATATAAAAGGGTACATTGTAACGTTTATGAATGCTTTGAACTGCCAGTATATGTTTTCAATGTTCATCCTCGGCCCAAGTATCAAAATTCACAAGAAAAGTTTGAAGTTAGAGCTAAGTGAATAATATAACACTAACATTGCTAATTAAATAACTTAATACCAATTTTCAACTGTGAATTCTTTCTAGATAGAGGCTGGTCAGTATTGCACCTTTGTCATTCATTGGGGTGGCTATGTCAGTGCCTGTGGAAAAGGCAGCTACGGTCGATTGGGATTGGGAGAATCGTCAAATCAGAGTCTTCCGAAAAAAATAGTCCTAGATGCTGTTATCAAAAGGCTATCAAGTTCAAAAGGCAGTGACGGCCATACTTTGGCCCTTACTGAAGATGGTGAAGTATACAGCTGGGGAGATGGTGACTATGGAAAGCTGGGGCATGGAAACTGTGCTACTCACAAGCAACCTGAAAAAATCACCGGACCCTTTTTGGGAAAGACAATAAAATACATCAACACAGGTAACTTGGGAGGAAACAGCCTAATGAAATAGTATCAAAACTTTGAAATCCATAAAAAAGGGGTGGTGAAAAGGGAGTTGAAACTTTATATTTTCCCATCAAGATCAATATGTATATTGGAAACATCAAAAATTATTGTTTAACTGAAACACATACATTTAGAAAATTTGATCAGTTACAAAATACACATCAAACAAATCAAGTTCATATACAAGGTCTGTTCAAAATATAAGGTGAGTGTTCAAATTTTGCAGGCTACGTACATTTGATCAGAGATTTTTATTTTTTATGTTGGTACACTTGTTTCGAACATACATTCACAGTTTAGCATGTTTAGTTTGTTGGTAAGAGGCATAAAAGTCAGAACTATTTTGGGTGTTTGGAGCATGTTTAGTTTGTTGGTAAGAGGCATAAAAGTCAGAACTATTTTGGGTGTTTGGAGATTTTGTACTATCCAAAACAATGGATCAAAGAATATGCATCAAATTATGTGTGAAAAATGAAAGTAATTGCTCAAAAACACTTGAAATATTGCCGGTGGCATACGGTGGTTGTACTCTGAGTCAGAAAAATGTTTAATAATAATAATAATAAACAGCTCCATTTCAGAGTAGATTATAAACTTTTATTACAAAAGGTTGGTAAATTGTCATTGTATTAGTGGATTTGAATACTGTTCTCCAAGTTTGGTTATGATTGGAGTTGTTGATTCCTCTTATTATTCTTTATTGAACTATGAAGATTATTTCAAATACTACCCCAAAAAATATTTCTGTATCGAACAACCGAAAGAAGCTGTGTATATTGTTTTTGTAGCCTCTTTGTGCAGATATTTTGATTTAACTGTCAATTCCATAAACTGAAGATTAAACTGTTTAATCTTCCTCTTTGAAGATGATCACTTGGTGATCGAAACACGTGTCGAGGTGTTAAAAAATAACAATTTGGTGTTGGGTGAAAACTCCAGTAATATTCATTAGAGAAGTTATTGAGGATGTTGACATATCAGTTGGCTCATGCCATGCAATTTTTTTGTAAAATTTGGAGTGTGGCAGTGAACTTGGTACCAAAATTGCTGAATTTTGACCTAAAAAACCGTCGCATGAACATCGTTTAGGAATTTTTGGATGACGTCGACGATGATCCAGATTTGCTTCAAAGGGTCATAACTGGTGACGAACCATGGGTATTTGGTTATAACATCAAAAATAAAGTCCAATCGAACCAATGGAAGAGCCCGTGAGAGCCAATACCAATGTGTTAGGAGTTCTTGCCACATGGTCGTATGGTCAATAAGGAGTATATTTTAGAGTTTTTGCATCAGTTGCTCACATCATGTCTCAGCCACCATATTCACCAGATTTGTCCTTCTGCGATTTTTCCTATTTCCAAGATTGAAGAGACTCGTGAAAGGACGGCGATTTGCGACGATTGTGGTGATAAAAACCTAATTGCTGAGACGGTTCAAGGACATACCATAATGTGCATATCAGAACTGCTTGCACAAAATTTATTGCAGATTCTTTGATCCATTTTTTCGATAACAGAAAACACTCTAAACACTTCTAACTTGTATGCCTCCCACCAATAAACCAAACATGCTAGTAGCTGAAATCGTGAACATATGTTCGAGACGAGTCTACCAACAAAAAAACAAAAATCGCTAATCGAATGTATGTAGCCCGCGAAATTCGAACATTCACCTCACTTATGGAACAGTCCATGTATACCTAAGCACACTCTATTTTAGGGTACAGACATAGTGCTGCTGTCACCGAAGATGGAAAACTCTACACTTGGGGTGAAGGTGATCACGGTAGGCTAGGCCATTTGGACAACAGTGCCCGACACATTCCTACTCTAGTGGCTGATTTAGCTGAAGTCGAAGTAGGTTCTGTGGCTTGTGGCAGTTCTCATACTCTGGTAGTTTCAAGGGATGGTAAAATAGTGTGGTCCTTTGGGTCTGGGGAGAATGGAAAACTGGGACATGGAGAGATTGCCAAAGTTTACAGGCCAAAAGTCATTGAAGCTTTGCAGGGTTTGGTAATACAAAAAGTATGTGCTGGAACATCTTTTTCTATGGCAGTTACCACAATGGGTCAGGTAATTCTGGTCCAGATTTGTAAATACCTTTGGTTTTTTTAGGGATAATCACCGTTGAATAGATTTTCACAATACAGTAATGAAACCAATCAATTCAAGTTTTCTGAATATGATTCCTAGGTTATTACTAGAATAACTCACCAAGGTGAATTCAATTCAATTCTTCAATAGTATAATATCCTAATAACATTAAATAAGTGTTGAAAAAAATCATGTAGTTATTATAGTCATATTATTGTAATGTACAAAAAACATTACAATAATATGACTAGGAAACTTATCCTAATATACATACAATTGAAAGAAAGTAAAAATCAATAACAAAAGAAGACATGCTCATAAATCGATATTTAATATTGGATCAAATATTAATGGTTATTCTGAAAAAAGGATAGTTGGGTAACGGGATCAATTTTTCTTTAAAAAAATATAAGATAATATAATAATACACATACACTTACATAAAAAATTTATCTAAAGAATGAAATACGTTGTTTCCTTCCAAGTATTTGTGAAGAGCGTTTCTGAAGCCATTTAGATTCGACAATTCGTGAGTTGGACCACACAGTTCCTTAAAACTTTTAAAACACCTTATGCCTTGATGAATATAACAGTTTGCCCAATCGTTACTCTGGAGAAAGGTTGACGTACATTTTCACGCTTTCTAGTTGAATATTTGTGAAAAGAACTATTTAATAGCATTGAAGCTTTTTGTTTTTTATATTTGCATTATATAAAGTGAAGGCAGTGTAAGAATTTGTAACTGTGAAAATAACTGTTTACATGAAGTCCTTGGATGAGCTCCCACCATGGACCTAATAATTTTTTTCTGCATGACAAATATTTTATTCACATGAGCTGAATTGCCCCAAAACATCAGACCATATGTTAATAGGGACTGAAAAAGTCCATAATATGTCAATTTCAATACTTCCAACGACACTGTTCTTTGTAGATGTCTAATTATAAAACACATAGTGCTTAATTTTCTCGCAAGAACATTGATGTGTTCCTTCCATGTCATCTTATGGTCCATAATAATTCCAAGAAATTTGGTAGAATTCACTTGTCCAATGCTTTTATTATTAAATTTTATCAGATAACTAACATCATTGTTCATATTTTGCGTTATAAATGTCATAAAAGAAGTTTTAGAGACATTTACTAGTAGCCCATTATAAAGAACCATTTATGAAATTCATTTGCGGTGATATTTGCCCTCGCTACTGCATCCCGTGTGCTAGTTTCTGAGACCAGTATATTTGTATCATCAGCATACATAAATATTTTTTTTGCATTACGACAGGAGTGAGCCATGTCATTCATAAAGATGATAAATAAAACGGGACCTAAGATAGATCCTTGTGGTACACCGATATTGAATGCTCTCGGTTGTGACTTACTTTGATTCATGACTACTACTTGTTTCCTATTTTTCAAGTATAAAGCAATCCAATTATTTGCCACATCTCTAACCCCAATACGGTACAATTTATCAAGTAAGAGTGTATGATCGATTGTTTCAAATGCCCTACTAAGATCAAAGTATAGGGTTATCGAGCGTTCTTTCCATTTAATGCAGAGTAGATATTCGTACACAAGTCCGCAATTGCTGTAGTTGTGGATTTGTTACTTCTAAAGCCAATTTGATAAGTTAATAGGAGCTTCTGGCTTTCTAAAAATGAATTCAACTGGATATTAAATGAGGCATCAAAAATGTTTGCGAAATGTGTCTGATGGTTGATATTACTCTTCATTGACTGTAAGACTATGTGGCAAGAACTCCCGATGCACTACGCAAAGGTAATCGAAGAAAATGCAGAGAAAACCTTGACATTCAATCGAACTTGGTGCTTTTTTGGTCTTGGTTCTTCCAGCCTCTTCCATAGAGATGATTGGACTTGGTTTCGATGTCGTAACAATATACCCATGATTTATCACCAGTAATGACACTTTCAAGCAAATCTGGATAGCCGTTGAAGTTATTCAACAATTCCTAAGGGATGCTCATGCAACTGTTTTTTTTGTGAAACTCCATGATTCTTCATAACGATTTTCTTCACTTTAATAAGATTTTCATTGATTGTTGATGTGCTGGGTTGTCCAGGGCGACCGTCATCATATACATCTTCTCGACCTTCTATGAAAATCTCCTATCACTTGTCAACATTTTTCCATAACATAGTAAAGATATCTGTGATGTGAACATCATTCTAACCAAACAGTACAATGAAAGCATCAGAAAAGGAGTATATCCAACTAAATTCAAGATTGTTGAAATCATAACTGTCTTCAAAAAAGGTAATAAATTTAACTCTCAGAATTACAGACCTATAGCGCTCATTCCAGTTCTATCCGTAATATTTAAATTCCTACTGAAAAATCAGCTACAGAATTTCTTTGAGGGAAACAACCTGTTGATAATCGAACAATTAGGCTTTAGAATTGGCAAATCAACCGCATTAGCACTCAATTATTTATGTGAAACTATAATAGCAGGCTTTGAAAGTGGTAAAATTGTGATATTTACTTTCTGTAACCTGTCAAAGGCCTGTGACTGTATCACATGAAATCTCACTGAAAAAACTTGAATTCTATGGCCTCAATGAAATCAATTTGGAACTGATCTCAAGTTACCTGGAAGATAGAAGACAAGTAACGTCTTGCTGTGGCATTCTCTCAGAAGAAAGAATCAACAGGCTCGGTCTACCCCAAGGCTCAATTCTAGGTCCGATATTGTTCCTAATTTACATAAACGATATCAAATATGCCTTAGCCCATAGCTCCCTATTCTATGGTGATGATACAACTTTTACAAATTTCAAGGGAAACTTATTTCTGAAGGATAGTATGGCCATTATAATGTCCTAAGCATCAGACTGATTCACTTCAGAATGGCTGAATCTAAATGGTAACAAAACTGAATCAATGATTTTGTCCACCTATCAGAATGATATATATATAAAAATCCAGAATCAGTAAAGGTTTTGGGAGTATACCTGGACCACACACTGAAGTTTGACTGTCATGTAAATTATATAGCCAATAAAGTTAATAAAAGCATTTACCTTCTGAAAAAATCTTAGATCAGTAGTGGACCAAAAAGTTTGTGTGATGACTTTCCAAGTTTTCATTTAGTCAGTTTGTACGTACGCGATAATAGTATGGGGACACTTCCTACATGCATCCAAAGTATTTGGCATTTAGAGAAGAGCAATGCGTGTACTTTCCAACGTGGGGTATCGTTCCGATGTCAGACAAAAATTTATTGATTTCAAAATTATGACCATTCCATCAAGATACTTATACGAATGCATTGTCTATAAACAAACACTGTATGCAATAAGAAAAACAAAATATCATATATTGAGAGGCGTAGTTTATGCGATGACAATATGACCGAACTACAACATCGGTTAACTCGTGAAGATTGGTGCCAAATTTTTTATTTACAAATAAATGAAGCTTTTGAGTACTTCTATAACACACTGATTTGGTGTTTCGATGTATCATGTCCAAAAAAGCGGTGCTATGGGAAATCCTACCAGAAAAGCTGGATAACTCATGAAATCATTGATGAAAGTAAAAAATTAAAGGAAGTGTTTTGGCTTCTCTCAAATTCCCAAAAATCTGAACCTCACTTGATTGAACATTATAAATCAAGATTGCGAGAGCACAAACATAATGTAAAGTTGGCAAAAAATAACTATTTTAAGTCTAGAATAAACCAGTCAGAAAACAAAACTAGAGAGACTTGGAAGATAATAAATAAAGAATTAGGACGAAGCACAAACAACTCGAAAAAAACAATAACTCTCAACTATGATGATGGGTCTAAAATTGACTCAGAGGAAGTAACTGAAATATTTGCTGAATATTTCTCAAATGCAGCTGAAAATTCCATATCAAATCACTTCGGGCAAAACTTATCTCTACCCTGTACTGTTACTGAAAATATTACCATTATTGAACCGTTCCAATCTTATCCGGTTACGGAATATGAGATATCGAATATCCTATCAGAAATGAAAAACAAAAAAACGGCAGGCTTTGATGAACTATCAATTATAACAATTAAGAAAATATTACCATCTATTGTCGTTCCTTTAACATACTTAATGAATCAATCACTTNTCATCACCATTCCATCAAGATACATATACTAATGCATTGTCTGTATGCGTGAAAATATTAGTCAATACAAAACTCAAGGCAATGTACATAGTCACTACACAAGGATAAGAGACAATATAAGAATTAATAATCTTAGACTATATTCTACAACAAACTCCTTGCCAGATCAGGGATCTGAAGATGGTATTGAAAGATTATTTGACAAACGAAGCCTTCTATAGCTAAAATGAATTCCTCAACAGTAGATTTGAAATAAAATGTAGGCTTTAGAATATTGTATTTATTGTATTTGCCTGTGAGAAAATGGAATAAAAACTTTAAATTGTCGATATTTTGAAATCTACGTACCTACTTCGATATATTTTATATAATTCATAAGGTTTTTCCCTGTGAGAAAATGGAATAAAAACTTTAAATTGTTGATATTGTGAAACCTAAGTACCTACTTCGATATATTTTTTGAAATGAATTATTTTCTTTCTTTCTTTTTTGTTTAAAGATGGAGAAGTAGAAAGCCAAAACCTTCCTTTACCAAAAATTATTCTCTCCTAAAAATATACACCGTTCAATTGCCAACTACTTTCATTTGAAGGTATTTTCAAGGTACGACTCTATCAAAGCTGTCTTGTTAATGAATATGTGAGAGCAACAACACATAAATTTGCTTCCTTTTTTTGTTATATACCATCCACCCTCTGACAACATTTCTAACTCATATTTCAAATGATTGAATTATATCTTATGTAGGTCTACACATGGGGTAGCGGCCCCGTCCTAGGTATGGGTTCTGCTGACGCAATTTGTCTTCGACCTCTATTGGTGGAAGACCTGACGCCATTCAGGATCATAGACATATCTGCCGGTAGTTTGTTTCTGAAAGTTACTTCTTTGCATCGAGTTATTTTGAAATGAATTACTTTCTCTCTTTCTTTTTTTGTATGAAGGTAAAGAAGAAGAAAACCAAAACCTTTTTTCCAAAAATTATTCTCTCCTAAAAAGATACACCGTTCAATTACCAACTACTTTCATTTGAAGGTATTTTCAAGGTACAACTCTATCAAAGCTATCTTGTTAATGAATATGTTATAGCAACCACACATAAATTTGCTTCCTGAAAAATATGGGACGTATTGACGCAACCCTTTTTGTAATATACCATCCACCCTCTGACAACATTTCTAACTCATATTTCAAATGTCTTCTGTAGGTCTACACATGGGGCAGCGGTCCCGTCCTAGGTATGGGTTCTGCTGACGCAATTTGTCTTCGACCTCTATTGGTGGAAGACCTGACGCCATTCAGGATCATAGACATATCTGCCGGAGACACTCACTGTTTGGCGCTGTCCGAAGAACATGCCGTGTTCGCGTGGGGAACCAACAGTATGGGTCAGTGCGGGCAAGGCCACAGTTCGAGTCCAATAACCAGACCTCTCAAAGTAATCGGCTTGGAAGGTGTTCCTATTCGACAGATAAGTGCTGGTAAGGTTCTTAAACATGATGGACAAAATACAACTTCTGGGAAAGTTATAAGCTAGCATTTAATGTATCTAGAGGAGTAGACCGGTCTTGTCTGGAACCTTATGTTCAATTTGAAATAACCCAGTCCTATTAAATGGAAATTACCATTCATTTTGCTGATGTGCTTAAAAGAAATTTTTCATAAATAATGAGTGATTTTTTTGCTGGTATNTAATGGATTTAGAGGGCAAGACAGTCTTGTCTGGTACCTTATGTTCAATTTGAAATAACCCAGTTCTATTTAATGAAAATTACCATTCATTTTCTAAAGAAATGAACTTTAAATGTTCAAGTCGGTCTCGGATATACCTACACAGTAGGTTGAATGAACGCCTATCAGAAAACAACTATCCACTGGCTAATACCAAGAACGGCTTTGGATTATATCCGACAAGCGTCAATGCAGGAATCTTTACAGAAAATCTCCTGCATATGCAATTGTCAATACAACTGAAAGAGTCAACCTTCAATTTTGGAACGGGCACACCAAATAGAAGGTTGACTCTTTCAGTTGTATTGCATATGCAGGATATTTTCTGTGAAGATTCCTGCACTGACGCCTGTCGGATATAATCCAACGCCGTTCGTGGTATTAGCCAGGGGAGTAGTTGTTTTCTGATAGACGTCAGTCCATTCAACCTACCGTGTAGGTGTATTCGAGACGGGCTTGAACATTTAAAGTTCATTTCTTTAGATTTGTTTACTGCCTGTCTTCAAGCATAGCTCACTGACTAATAAAACCAAAATAGTATCAAATGAAAAAAAAATATTTCATGAACATCTGAAATGGAGAATGAACTGAAGATTGCCTTAGAGACTAAGGATTCAAGTGGAAAGGTAATCATTTGAAACGACCTATAAATAGATCAAATTTGTAACTCAGTGTCTGAAAAATTAGAAATAGATTCATCCGATGATGAAAATAATTATTCACCTTCGAAATATCCATTGTGTGTAAAAGTAACCGAATCCAAACTTGAAATGTTATGGTTAGTATGCAAGGTATCTCAGTTCTTGTCCGCCAACCACATTCCTGTGTAGAAACTGAAATTAATTTTAATTCATCAACGGATAACACCCAGTTGAGTTCCACATATTTTCACAATATGTGAATACAGACGTAATTATATCTAACTTACTTGCTGAATATTTGCTCAAATGTTATAATATAGGGTGGCGTATTTCCCTGAGGATACACTATAAAAACACTTTTGTCTATTTTCTACGATAGTTTTATATTTGTTGACTAGTTTCGGTCATTACACTATTTTCAAAACTAACTAGATTACATTCAAATCTGAGTATTTATACCTACATTGCCTATACCTATCATAAATAATTTGATACCTACATTGTCTATACTTGAGATAACCTCAATTAATAGCAGTATATCGAAGAACATAACAAAAAATTTGATAAAATGTAGGTTTTGGGAACTAGGTTCAGGAGAGGATTATTTTTTAGATCAAGTTTTTCATTGAAGATAATAGAATTGGGATTTTCTTTGACTTGTTTGTTTCCATAGATTCCAACAAATTCATCATTTTCCGTTTTTCACATGTGTAGAGGATTTTTAAATTATCTTTATCTATTTTATGTTTCGAATTTAAAAATCCCCCACAAATGCGGCAAAGGGAAATTGATGAGTTTGTTGGAATCTATGGAAATGAACAAGTCAAAGAAAAATCCCAATTCCATTATCCTCAACGAACAACTTGATCTAAACAATAGTCCTCTCCTGAACCCATATAACCCAGTTCCCAAAAACCTAAATTTTGTCAAATTTTTGTTATGTTCATCGATATACTGCTATTAATTGAGGTAATTTCAGGTATAGACAATGTAGGTATAAATACTCAGATTTGAATGAAATCTAATTAGTTTTGAAAATGGTCTAATGACTGAAACTAGTCAAGAAATATAAAATTATCGTGGAAAATAGATAAAAGTGTGTTTTTATATTGTATTCCCAGTGAACATGAATTTTCACAAATTAAATAAGTTTCCTAGTCCCAAATTCAAACCTCAATAACTCCGTATTTAGTTATCGAAATTCAAAAAAGTGAAGGTCATTGTATTGAGAATTTCTTACGAACAAAATCTTCCCCTTCATTTAAATTAAACTTGAAAGCGCCCTCTTGGCGGAAAGTTATGTAACACTATTGGCTTTTCATCAAAAATTACTAAAAATGATTGATTTTTACAAAAATTTTGTCCGACTCTGATATTTCGCCCCATTAAAAAGTTGAGAGGGAAGGCTCTTTAAGCCCACACTGTATATTGAAATCCCTGATAAATAGAAAACTCTCAACCGACATGCTTTCAAATGTGTAGTGAATAATTATCTTCCGAAACAATGTTTTTACTCTGTTGAGGAATATTTAAAGTATCCAATGTGATCACCATATCTTGTCGCACAGGCATTAATTTCAAAAATATAATTTATATTTTTCCAATGTATCTGTACCTCTGGTGGGCTACAAATACAAGTATAGCAAGCGCCAAACGTGATGGCGAGCGGTCACCCAGGTACAGACTCTCCCAACTGAATTTCTATTGGATTACGATAAGCCCCTTGCCAGCCAGTGTCGTATCTATATTTAATTTTAATTAGGGTAGCAAATGGAACATGATTTCTTTGTAGTTTATTTTCATATTCTATTTAGTATTATAGGTAGTAGTACAGTTCATCAGTTCAGTTAAATAAGTTTTCATGGTTTTTTTGAATTTGTGGGAATTTAGCTCTTTGACCCAAGAAGGTAGCAAGTTATAAAGATTAACATCGATTGAATTTTTCTTTGACCTTTGGAGTCTAAATTTGCGTGGTCTAATTAGTAGACGACTGCGGGTGCTGAATCTATGAAAGTCAACATTTAATGCGTAATAGTTATTCTTATAACTTTCAAGGACGAGAAGAGGGGTTTACGTGAATCTCTGTATTCTACTCCAGAGATAATTCTTATTGCCTTTTTTTTCATCATAATTACTTTATTAAAGTGGGCATTATTACCCCAGAAGATTGGACAATACGAAACAGTTCCTAAGCAGGAACAGGCATTTGGAAATTTTTAGGCAAAGTTGGTCAATACTCCTGATGACTGGTTTTTTGTTATGCGATGACATTTTTTTCAGAAACAACACAAATTATTCAGATAATGCCAAACGCCAACAGCATTGGAGGGCAAGTAATGTTACGCCTCTGTAAAGAGCATTTGTATGTCATGCAAGAGCTGTAGTGGGGGTTACATTGAAAATGAGTTTGTGCGAATGAGGGCGGGCTCGCCATCACGTTTGGCGCTTGCTGTAAATATATAAAGTTGTCAATAAATCTACCCATTTAATTTTTTTCATTAGTTCTTTGAAAGTTTCCTTCTTTCTATGTATTGATGGAGAAGTAGAAATATAGATAGATAGATATCTTTATTTACTTTACAGAGTATTTGTAGTCCTACATGAACACAGTGGCAGAATATGTTGTCTGTAAAAGTACGTCAACAAAATACAAAATCTTAAATCTACATACACTTCAGAAAATATGGACTGTCAAAAATCACACAAAGAGCTTAAAAAAGTAAATATATAGTAGTAAATGCTAAAAAAACTAAAATACATCACACTTTCTTAGATACATCATACACTGACTAAAATTTTTTGACTAAAGAAATTTGATTCAAATGGAACTTTTGCATTTTTACACATTTTGAAAAAATTCCTGAATACTGTAGTAGGAAAAAGTCGCAGGAGACTAAATCTGCTGAATACGGTGGCGAGACAATGATAACGGTGTTGTTTTTGGCCAAAAAATGTACATACCCGGAAAATTTAAACATTCACCTTATTTTTTGAACAGTCTACGTATATTTCTTCTTCACTTGATTCTCCTCCTTTACACATGTTGTGTTTCTTCGGAAATAAATGGTACAGCTACATCTATTGTCCATAGGTACTTCACATTCTATCGCTTGGACGTCAGTCCCTTCAGAGATCACAAACGTAACCAAACACAAGCCGTTTTGCTTGGACCTGCACGAGAAAACTTTCGGCATGTTGAAGCTTTTCCTAGAGAAATATACGAAAACTTTCGTCTATGAAAAACCACCGCCTCCTTTCAAGACTGTCGAAGAACACAACCAATTCGTATTGCTTACCCTGAAGCTTCTTTGCACGCATTTGAACCTGTGCATCAACGCAAACTTGAACACCAATGTTCTCAACAGCCACGCCAAGGCGCTGAGGACGGCTCTTTTCAGGTAACAAGAATTTTCTAACTAAGACTTTAATCGATAGGCTCTCTTTACATTAACGCCATCTTTGGGTGCTACATGAAAGTCAAACCTTGCTTAGCGATGGTAAACAAGATGACACCAGAGCTTAAAAGTATTGAATTTTTCATCCAATACCAGAGTGAGTTATTTCGATCTACTTTAGTGGTTCTGGGAATCCTCATTTATCTTTGATAAGTGTTGTTAGAGTTTTCTACTGATCCCAAAATGAAATTAAGTGATGAATATAACTGAGACGTTAACATTAGCGAATGATGAAGTAACCAAAATTATAGTATGACACCATCAACGAATTAGGATTCCCTGATATACAGGTTAGCTAATACCTTTATCTGTTTCATTAGTAAATTTAGTCAATGATAACTGTAGTTGCTGTTTCACAAGAATGTTTTTTTCGAAAACCAGATTGATTGCTAAACATGATTTGATTTTTGTCAATAAACTCTAATAATTGATTATATGCTGCTATTTCTAAAACTTTCTCTATTGGCGGTAAGGAATAAATTCACTTGCTCTTATAGTGTTTGTAACTTTAGGTACTTATTTTTAATAATTCGGCCAATTGACCATTCTGAATCGATGATATATATATGAACATTTTTCGAGAAATTCTTCATAAAGTAAATTAACATCTATAGAAAATTACAAGAAATGAGCTTATTCTTAATTATACTCAAATTATCATCACAAAGATTTCTGTATTTTCTTATTGAGCTTTCTTTGTTAGATTGACTAAAGAGGAAATTGACAGAAATAATTGAGTGGTCAGTAATTTTTGGCGTTAAATGAACATTTGAAAGTATATTATCGTTATTAGTCAAAACCAAATCTATTAATGATTGTGTATCTAGTGTTTTTCTAGTAGGTTCAGTTAATGTTGTGAAAATGTTCTTGTTTTTTTTGCATAGAAACTTTCTTCTAATAAGTTTAAATTAAAATCACCTACCAGAATAAAACGATTGTTAGATGACACAAGCTTCTCGCAAACATCCTCGAAATCTTCTAAAAAAGTTGCATGAGAACTAGAATGTGAGTGTTATAGTTACTCAATAATCCACGTACTATGTACATCAGCCATTTTATTTTTTATAAATATATGTATACGGTCCCAAGAAACAGATATACAGATCTATTGGACGAACAACATATGGACGTTTTGTCATAAGTTTCAAATTATTTGGCTTTGAAACATTCATGTCTCATATATACCTTCGCATAAGTTTAGAATCTATACTTATAAATGTGAAAGTCACTCATTTAACACTCACTCCTCCGTTACTCTGTACTAGTAAGTCCTAGAAAGCTAAAATTTGATGTGTAGGTGCTTCTTAGGTCTTAGATGTGCACTCTGAATTTGTCAGAGTCTGTGTGTCAAATTTTCAATATTATTTTTGCTATGCTGGAACTAAAAAAATATATTTTACATCTATGTTTCTTCATTACTAGACGAAAATAGTTTTTTTTTCAGTTTTCAATTCTGAAGTAGCTCCCTATGAAGTTATATATTTGTGTATGAATGTTTTCTTGCATAAATAATTTCCAATTCAAACCATTTCAGTTTTTTAGGAATAAATAAATAAATATATACTGAGCATTCTACAACACATTTTCTAGTTCAACCTATTGATATTTCTTTTTGATTAAATGTATCTGTAGGTTGGTAGATATTGATGCACCAACTGAAATCCATGACTCTGCGAGAGAAGTACTCAACATTGGTGCTCCGTTACTGTTGCCGCAGCTGCACGAAAGAGTTGAGTTTCTGCATTCCCACTTGTCGAACGGAAACCATTTATCCCAAGGCCAGCAAATGCTTCTCGGTATTATCTTAAATAGCCTCGAAGACCCCGTTCATATTGCAGCACTGCTAGGTTATAGCACTACGCACGAGAAACTCCAAGATTTCAAAATGACTGGGACTCTTATGCGCACCCTCTTGCAAGCCTATTGTAAAAACACTGTGAGTAAGTTTTCTTGTTGTTTTGTTCACTTCCACACTAGTCCTGTTTCAGGAAGAAACGTTAGACAGTATCTTGAGGTACAAGTCTATAACAACGACATTCAAATGGCAGAGCCCTGGAAATTCAAAGATAAACAACCTTCAAAGACTTCTGTCTTCCCTGCAGAACCACATGCTGGCTCATTACACACTTTCATCGAAGAATGGTCCGAAATCTATTGATAACGACGGCTTCACAGATCACCTATCTCAAGTTTTCGAATTGGCCATCAAAATTTTGAACAGGGCTTCCAATATTCTGATAATGTACCCATCGAGCTTGCAATTGTTGTACAATGTTTTGCTGGAATCTGTTACCGGAGCTATGCTTTTCAAAATTCTCAATTCGTTGCTTTTGATGCCGGCACCATATTTGAAAAATTTGTACCCGTTCATTCTTGACTTGATGGATCCCTTAGACAGGTTCAACCAGTTGTTGCCGAAGGAGCTGACTAATAATGAAAAGGATTCATCAAGTAAGATGCAGATTTATGAGAATAATTTGATTTAATGTACTTTTATGGGCAATGCTTCCTATTTCCTTAATACCGATTTTAGCAAAAAGTATTGAGGCGGAAAAAGAGGTAAATGATGCTATCTTCTCGTTTTTATGCTGGTAAAGTAGCCGCTGCAACTTTTTGCGATATTTCTAAAGCGTTCGATTGCGTCAATCATAAAATTTTATTAAAAAAAACTTCATAAATATGGATGTAGAGGTGTGACGAACATCTGGTTTAAATCGTACCTTTCAGGGCGGAGTCAAATGGTGAGGACAACAGAACTCTCAGAGAACAGGACCATTGAATCTGGTGTATCACAGGGTTTTGTTTTAGGCCCTATTCTATTTCTGCTATATATGAATGACATCTCTATGATTGACATATCTGGTAGTTTCACTCTATTCGCGGATGATACTACAATATTGTGGAATGAAAAAACTCAGTGGAGCTAAATAAAATAATATCATCCGACTTGAAGAAGGTGAAGAGCTGGTGCGATGCAAATTTACTCTCTCTCAATGCATCCAAAACGAATATAATATCATTCAAATATTCACTTGATGAAATTCCAATAGATGATGTCATATTACAAAATAAACACAAAATTTCCCGGTGTATTTATTGATAATAGGCTGAAATGTGATGAACACCTTAATCAACTGAAGAGTAAGATCTCCTCAGGATGTTATGCAGTTAGAGTGGTTTCAAATGAGTTGGGTTTCCACATCGCAAAGACCGTTTACCATGCACTTATTGAAATCTCGACTACGTTATGGAATACCTTTTTAGGGAACATGCAACTCATCCCTTCTCTCTTCTGTATTGATATTACAGAAGAGGGCACGAAGATTTCTCTGTAAAGTCAAACTCAGAAAATCGTGCAGGAACTTGTTCTCTTCCAATAAAATTTTAACAGTCGTCACACTTTTTATCCTAGAGACGGTTTGCCTTATTTATAAACATAAATCGAAGTTAAACTTTGCTTCTACTTCTTATGCTACTCGCAATAGCAATTATACCTTTAGACTTCCCATCCCAACGTCGAATTTAATCAAGGATTCCATATACTATAATGATGGTAAGTTGTTCAATCATTCATCATTTGAAATGAGATCTGCAAATCTGAGCAACATTCATTTTACTTGTTGAAAGACCCTAATCTACATTGTATTTCTTGGACTTTGTCAATAAGATGCAAATCTTCGGACAATAAAGTATATTTTTGATTTGATTGATTATGAATAATCCAAGACTTTTTTTATAATAATGCTGTTAATGCACCACTGGGTAATTCTTTATCAAAAATACGATGGGGGACTATTTATATTTTGGGAACTGGCAACACTAATATTCAATAGGTAAAATGTAACAATACCATAATAAAGTTTGACATTTTTTAGCATAAACTTATTCACAACGTTTTGATGTACAAGTTCAATTTGTTTTGTTCATAGTGAGTTAGAAAATCAATTTGACCAAAAAATGGAAATTTCAAGAGAATGTTCTTGTTGGATTATTTTTCACAAATTTCGACATAGATTATCGATAAACTCAGTTCCTTGTATGACGATAAAGCGCCATCAAAAACCACAACATATTGCTGGTATAGTGAATTCAATCGTGGTCGTAGTTGGATGGCAGACGAATTCCGAGAAGGTCTTCGTAATCGGTTGTTGTGCCACAAAATATCGATGCAATGCCTGGACTGATAATGCAAGATCTTCATGTGACATATTTTGGGATAGAGACATCCTTGTACATGCACTTCAATACATTCAATTTTGCATGAACACTTAGTTGTCAAAAAAAATTGTTCCCGTTGGATACCCACTAATTTATCAATCGCTCAAAAAAGGCTCGCGTCAAATGGTGAGAGGAAATGATTAAAAAGTTCGACCGTGGTGCTTCAAAAGACTAATCATGGATATATGCGCATGAACCGGAAACTAAACAGCAATCGGCCGTGTGGGTATTCTAAGACGAGCTAAATCCCACAAAAGTTGTTCGAAAAAGAAGCGCAGCAAAGCAAATAGTCGCCTGTTACTTTAGATTAGATTGTCGGGGAGCTAGCCAACGACCTGATTCACTGCGATCTTTTCAGATCTATTGTGATGCTCCTTGGTTGTTAGAGCTTATTGTCTAGCTTGATCAGTTTGTACATAGCCTTGACACTAACCCCTTCATATAGCTGGCAGCTTCTGGTTTTTCTTCCCTGCATCTTGTATGTCTCAGCCTTGCTATCGCTTTGCATTCACAGAGCACATGCAGTGAGGTTTCTTTCTCTTCTTGACAGAACCTGCATTGGGTTCCTTCTGTCAGATCAATGTTACTCCTAAGTCGACTATGCCCCGTTAGTAGACCCACCACTTCCCTTACAACCTTACGGTTGTGGTTTAGCAGGTCTTCCGTGAATCTGTCTGTTTAAAATCTGTTTTTACGTTAATCAGNGGAAATGTTCGAGGTGAATTTGAAAAACTCATTAATTAAACTCAACTTTATTTTGTTCAAACTTGCATTTGCTGTAAAATAACCCAAATTTAGGAACATTCCCCATTGTAATAAAATCCAAATAGCAAGCCAAGGAAGTTCAGATTTAAAAAAAACATGTACAAACACTAGAGTAAGTTATGAACATTAAAGTAAATAATAAACGACCATTCAGAAGTTTAATGAACAATCTCTGGATGAAGTCGTCTGATTGCCATTTTTTGAATTTTAAATGTGACAAATGAAAAAAATCGAGTTCTGAAAAGTATGTATTGAAATTTTTCTGAAGTCTACAACTTATTGCCATCGAGCCATAGTTAGTCCTGTAGAATCGCAACCCAAATGAAAAAATGTGAATAGTTCTTAAGGTTCTTGAGTTAACAGAAAGGCAAAGCTATTGCTAGTTCCGAAATACAAGAAGTACCTATCGTACAACTGACCTATATAATCATATTTCATTTCAATCTCTTCAACTCATCCGTTCTTTTTTTTTACAATATTCAACGATGGTTACTGACATTGAAATTTCTCTTTCTGAGGAAGCGAAACACCAACCCTCGACCAGCTCGCAGAACAGTCTTGGATCTGGATCATAGATATGCAAAAAACTTGCTCTTTGGTTATCGGTACCTGTCTTGGGGGAATGCTTATAGGAGATCCTCCCACCAGAGAAGAAGTCCGTTGTCGTAACTGGCTCACCAATGAAATTTTTTCCTCCGGTATAGAAAACGAAAGCATTCCCATAGCGACAATATCGGAAATTTCCTACTTCGCTACATCGTATAATCTCGAGGCGATTTTGATAATTTTAGAAAATGTACCTGAGAGTATTCAAAACCTATGCAGAATAGCGTTCGACCTACCTCATCAGTATGGAGAGGCTTGCGCCATTCCTCGAGTGAACAATAGCACCAACGAGTTCTTCGACACGTTACTAGACATCATCGAAATCGAATCCTGGGAGTTTGAAGAGAAGGATAAACGACAACTAGACGTCGTCTTGAGGTGTCTCTTGACGACTCTCTTAAAACAGACCGGGTTGTTAGAACAGTCGACGTCTCACCCGGCTGTGAAGGAAGTGTACAAGATCGTTTTGAGTTTCAGACAGAAAATGGTAAGCTTAATGTGTAGTGGGGATTTCGGACAAGAAGAGGACGTCTTCAAAGATGATGAGGAGTGTGACCAGCAAGCCCCTGGCTCGACTGGAGAATCCAAGATGGTCCAGGATGAAGATGAGTTTACTTTCAGCGGTGTCTGTCAAAGTGTGCTGAGAAGGTGCTTGTTCTTATTGATATATGTCAAAGGTGAGTGGAATATTGTATATATTATACTGAAATTCCATGTTATTAGGCACTAAATTGTCACTGTCTTTCATAACGAAAACATTGTTCTCAGGTTGTGATTCTATATTCTATCATCTTCTATTTAAATCATACACACGCAGCTAAATGGTCATAGAATGAAGAAACCTCCTGCTAATGAAATATATTCAACAGCATCAATGTTTATTAAATGAATATGAAAAATTTTAATCATATTCTGCGACTAAAATTTATAAATGGCAACATTACGTACATAGATGTTTGTGGGGCTGATGACAGATTTTGGAGTTTCTGTTTAAAAAAACACTAAAATTGGAAATACCTCTTTCAATAATATAATAAATAATGATATTTTTGTATAATCTTATCCTAGATGAACATAAAAGAAGAATAATAAAAAAAATGATCAGGTAAAAACCAAGGGATTTGTTTAAGGACTGAAACAAGGGAAATATCATTATGAATCTGTTCAGATGTGTGCTGTGAACTGTGAGCAATATGGAAAGTGAAAGCAGTCAAAGCAAACGCAGACGTCCGAATTTGTCTGAAGGAGAAAAAACTATTTAATACAATGTGTATTGTGGGCTCCTTGAACGGAATGAAAATATTTTGCATAACGATGTAGTTAATCTGTGTTGTGATTCAACTACAAGTGTCGACGAAAAGTATTCATAGAATTTCTAAAACCTTTTTAAAAAATTAAGGTTAATGTGATAATATTTCTAAAGACATTGAAACTAGAAGAAGAAAACAAATTCAGCTTGATAATTGCACCAAATATGCTATTTGTAGAAAATTCCATTTGTTGGGATTAAGGTTGGGATTCAAAATCCCAACCTTAAAAAAGTCGCAGCCGGAATAAGTTCTGATGAATCGATGCCAAAATTACAACGACGTGTTTTTTCGCGCACGTTAAAGCAAATGAACATTAAAATCATGAAAAGAGATAGGAAAAGGCCATACTGTCTCAAAGGTATGGCAAGATCTAGACTACCACGAGAAAATGGACGCCCAAAATTTCGAAAGTTGATTCTACCAAACCTTGAACCAAACTCTGTCGTCGCCATGGACAATGCCTCCACCACAGCTGTATTTTATTCAGATATAAATCCCGGAGATGTAGCTGCAGCAGTATTTTGTGACCTAAAAAAGGCTTTCAACTGTGTAGACCACAAAATACTTTTGCGGAAACTACATTGCTACGGCTGTGAGGGAGTTACTTTGGATTGGTTCTAATCCTACCTAACTGGGCGCAGTCAAGTCGTAAAGAGTGATATAATTTCAAAATATATTAATATAGATTATGGAGTGCCACAAGGATCGGTTTTGGGGCCCACTCTTTTTCTTGTATATATCAATGATTTACTGTGTATAAATACTTCTGGAAAAATTACCTTATTTGCTGACGACACCACCATTTTACGGCATAGTAAAACTGTTGAAGATTTGAATAATAAGATAAGCAGAGATATTAATGTAATTAAGTCTTGGTGCGACTCGAATCTTCTCTCTTTTAATATAAAAAAACAAATATATTAACTTTCAAATGTACTTTAGAAGATATGCCTCTAGAAAATGAGAAGATTGAAAATAAAGACTGCACAAAATTTTTGGACCTATATATTGACAGTAAATTGAAGTTTGAAGCACACGTCAACCAATTGAAGAATGAAATCACCTCAGGGTGCTATGCTATGAGAATTATTTCAAGGGAACTTGGTACTGCCACGGCTATGAACGCATATTATGCATTAATTGAATCTCAACTGAGATATGCCATTCCTTTCTGGGGGGTATGTAACTCTAGTCTGCTAGATTCAGTACTTAAACTGCAAAAGAGAGCCATTAGATATGTGTTCAAACTAGGACCGCGCAATTCATGTAGGCAGTTATTTGCAGAAAAAAATATATTGACAGTTGTGGCTCTCTTTGTAATGGAAACTGCGTGTCTTATACACAAACATAGGTCAAAATTTGAATATATTNCCAAATTTAATTTTTTTCACTCTATGATGTCGTTAAGCGATTTTTCGGCAAATTTTTCTCTGCTGACACAACTCGTTAGCGTTAGAGAAAAAGTAACTGATGATATTATAAAAAATGACTTAAAAATATTACCAGACCTAAACAAAGTTATAAATACAGCTGAGTCCAGGAATGCTTAATACTTAAGATTATTCTTCAAATTGTTATGTCGTTTTCAACAGGCACAGAAGTCGAAATCTCAGCTTCCCTAACCGACTCCGACGAGGATGTCAGCTCAGAAAAAGCCTATATCGAATTCTACAAGACCAGCAGGGAATCAGAATCGTTTGCAGACCTTAGAAAAATATGTTTGTCTTGTTCAAATTTCATCACAAATGAACCAGTGGAAAAAACCCGAGTGTTCACCAACTCTTTCGGCTGGTGTACCGAACCTAGCGTGGTCCACCAAGCCTTGGTCGACCAAAAAAACAGATCGATCAGTAGATACCGCAGTCTGGATCAGCTTCTTTTCCATCTGGTTACCAGGGAAGCTTCTCCGACAGTGTTGAATTGCATCCAGCAGCAACTGCTCGAAGGGTGTTTCGGGTTTTGCAATATCAAAAACGAGGAGTCCTGCACTCCGCTTCACCACTACCTGGAGGGAATAAGATCCTCGCCAATAAACGTGCAGGAGAAGATCCGGACCGTAGTGCAGCGCATCTACCAGTTTCTGACCAGTTCACTGCGGAGACAAATAGCGAACAATTCCGATAATAAGCAGCTCCTGTTAGTAACTGTCTTCGCATTAAGCACGCGATATCAACCCAACGATCTAACTATAGTGATCAACAATGATCTAGTGCAGCTTCTGGTGCAACTCGTTCACGTCAACACGAACTTCGCGAAGATACTCAGCAAGTCCGAAATACTCCATGTCGCTGCTCTGAGACTTACTCGAATTCTCGCTATTTCGTGCTGCATCCATTCAAAGAAAGTTGACCAATCGTCACTTGAAAACGTTGTGAACATCCTCCACGAACAGTTCATAAAAACCATGGAGTCCTTCGACGAGAGCCACAACTTTTCGAACGACAGTTTTCCGGCCGGTAGCGAACGTAGCCTCGGAGATTTCCTCCTATACCTCAGGATAATATCCTCTAGTCGAACTATACAGAGACTGCTAGCTTCCAAGAAGTGGATCTTCGCGTTTCTCGCCATTTTGGACACTTCGAATGTCTTCGCCTCATACGCCTCGCAGCTGAGAACGCTGCGGCCGAAGTTGCTCATCTTGCAGTTGTTACAAGTGATACTGCCGGGTCTTCAGGCCGTCCACATCGACGATGACTTGAGAAAGCATATAATGAACAAGCTGTTCAACCAGATTGGTCGGGAAATGTGGAACTTTCCCAAAGAAACGCCCCCTGTTGCTTCTTGCTTCGATTCTGCCGATAACGAGCTTCTAGATCCATGTAAGTCCTTCAAGGAAGGGGAGGGGATTGTCCCCATCCACGACATGGGTTTTGATGAGGAAAAGTGCTTCAACTGCACCATCGATGGTAGTTTGACGCTCGTTCACAGTACGGGAGGTAGAGGGTACGGTCTGGGGTTGCAGCCGATACGGTCAGGGTCTTACCAGTGGAAAATCCTCATCGTTAAGGAGAACAGGGGCAATGAAGGAACATGCATCGGAGTTTCAAAGTTTCCTGTGAAGGATTTCAGCCACAGATCGACTGGTGATATGTGGCTTTATCGAGCATACAGTGGGAGTTTGTACCATAATGGAGAAAGGGACATTAGTTTCCAGAGTTACACTCAAGGTAAGTTTGGGTGTTGGTTCTCTAATTTTGTTTGCAAAGAATATGTAAATTTGTGTTTCGATCATTGATTCATGATGGTGAAATTAATGTTCTGATGTGTATCAAGGGGAAGATATTTTTTCAGGTATCACAAGAGCTGATGTCGAATCTACAAAAGGTATTTTAGCCAACTTGAAATTAAATAAGATGTACTAAATCGATGTAAGTGTTTCCAAAATTGGTATCCTAGATACGCTGGTGTGAAAAAGTGTATGGCTCGTAACATACAAGTCAGATTCGATTTGACAACTTCACTATTTTATTACAATTATTATTATTTCAATGCTGAATTTCGTTCAGATCAAAGAAAAATGTTCCTTTTCTTATACCCTCCATAAATGATGTAATGGGTGATTTTTTTGCTGGTATCTTTTTGGCAACACTGTTTTTGACAGATCATGCGTGAATCATGTCTTGTGTCATTGTCAAACTTGTTCAGTTTGGTCTATAATTTAACAGTGATTCGACTTACGAATTAACAACACTTGCAAATTATTGAATTTTATTATCAAAATTCATGCTCGGTGAAGAAAGTGCATCGTGCAGTTCTTCAAATTTATGGGCAGTTTCGTCGGCCTACCGAGGGTGCTATTCGGAAGCTTGTCACTGAATTTCGAACCCAGTTTACATTATTGGACGTTAAACCACCAACACGCATACGTAGAGTGAAGAAGACCAATGAAAATATTGCGGCTGTATCCGCCAGTGTTCGTGATGACCGTGAAATGTCGATTCGCCGCCGTTCGTAGCAATTGGGTCTCTGTTATTCCACTACGTGGAGAATTTTACGAAAAGATTTAGGTGTAAAACCTTATAAGATACAGCTGGTGCAAGAATTGAAGCCACACGACCTCCCACAACGCCTAACATTTGATGAATGGGTGCTGGCATTTTTATCGAAAAATTGTGTTCAGCGACGAGGCTCATTTCTGATTGAATGGATACATTACCAAGCAAAATTGCCGCATCTGGAGTGAAGACCAGCCACAAGCATTGCAAGAGCTACTGATGCATCCCGAAGAAGTAACTGTTTGGTGTGGATTATGGGTCGGTGGCATCATCGGGCCGTACATTTTCAAAGACCGGAACGTTACTGTGAATGGCGAGCGCTACCGTGTGAAGATTGACGACTTTTTGTGGGGTCATGTTAAAGCTCATGTCTACAGGGATAAACCAGCAACGACTGACTCTCTGGAAGCCAATATTGAAGCATTTATACGTGAAATACCGGTCGATATGTTAGAGAGAGTGTGCCAAGATTGGACCTTGCGCATGGGCCATCTGAAGCGGAGGCGCGGGCAACATTTGCATGAAATCATCTTCAGATATTAAATTATATTGATCGTTCTATCGTTTCCAATAAAGATTTCATCAATTTTTTCAAATGTTTTGAATTGTTTTGAAAATCAAATCCTATACCTCTTAAAAAATCACCCGTTAGTTGAATGAAGAAAAAAAATCTAATAGAAAAGGGGCTGTTGATAAAAAAAGGATATGAAATTATGGATTAGAGACAATGAATTGAATTGGTTAGGTTAGGTCAAAAGTGAGTGAATCAATTCGACCCTTCGTCGCAACCCGCAATGATTTACTGTGGCTCACATCCATTGAAATTCGACTCGACCCAGCTTCTTAACGAAGCCGATTAGTTCGTATGGTGAGTGGTCTTTCAGGTCAGATGGTAAGAGTACGGCCCTGCCGACCTCTAAAAACCTGATTTGGTCCCCAGCGGAGCAGGCACAACGTATGTGCTCTGCGTTTCATCATTTTCCAAATAGAGGCAACACACACTGTCTTCCGACAGTTCGAATCTCTGCAAAGGGTAAATGAACGCTTTGGAGTGAGCTTATCCTGAAAGATTTTGCCAGAAGTTCATAAATATTTTTTTCATCCAGGTGTTCATGATGAAAAGCCGATGGATTATGATGAATGGTTTCCCAGCCCACTTTAGAATAACTTGAGGTTATGGCCACATCAAGAGGTTACAGTTCAAAGACATATCAACCTAATCTTTGACAGTATATTATTTATTTTGGTTGTTTATCATTTTCACATCATGTGAAACAAGGGTATGAAATTGTGGCTTGGAGACAGTAATATAAATTGATTAGAGAGAATCTGAAGTACGAAACATTTCGTCTGTCACTGCGGCAGACATCAGTGGTAAGTGCGTTAGGACAAAAGTTGTATCACGAAGTCTCGGTAATGTCCATCGTTCATTACCCCTTTCAATTTATAAATATAAGCATTTGAATATGTCTTATACTAAAAATTCTATGGTTGATGAAAATTCATTATGCTTCAATGGAGTAACAATTTATAATATTCTCCCCTGAATATATAACGAACATTAATTCTGCCACAAAAGTCAAGAAAATTGTTTGTTACAAAGTATTTTACAGCTATCCTAGAAAATAATTGATTCAACCGAGGTGAAAAACTTTTGGGATTTCTCCTGGTTCTACTGAGTATTGTTTTTTTTTCAATTGGTATTGCTTCATAATATTTGTTATCCTGTTATATTCATTCTTTAAACATGTCTTTTCATTATTAAAGGCGACTACATAACAGTGGTGCTGGACATGGACGCAAAAACGCTGAGCTTCGGCAAAAACGGCGAAGAACCCCGAGTGGCATTCGAGAACATCGAACCTGTTGATCTGTACCCTTGCGTGATGTTCTACAGTACCAATCCTGGCGAAAAGGTGAAGATAACTGACATGAAAGTCCACGGAACCCAACGAGACTTGTTGCCCGGCGAACCGAACTTGGCTCCTTTATACGCAGTTCTAACGGAATCGTATGTGAGCCTCATCAGGAGGTTGCACAACGCCCCTACTTGGACAGAAGAGGTTAATAACGCTTTGACATCGAGGTTCAACAAGATAGAGACCTTATTTCCTACACTCGACACACATAACATGGAGGACGGCCCAGAGTTGTCAGATGAGAAGGTTATGATAATTTTACTAAACAAAATCTTTTTTTTTTCATAAAATTAGAGTTTTTATCTATTCTTCTGTGGATTTTCACCTTTCACAATCTGATAATAAAGATGGTAATGGAGATTACAGGTGTGGAAAGGAAAAACCTTTTAATTCACCTTGATTAGTTACTGCATGCATCCAAAGTATCTTTCACAAAGAAAATTTACTATTTATCGGTAATTTATCATATTCAATAATATTTTGCCTGAGCTGAGGAATTGAAGGTGCTCATTTCATCTCGTTCAAACTTGGCAAACCACGTCTCAACGGTTCAAAAGTTGTTTCACTTAAAATGATCTTTCCCACAAATTAATAATTTGACAGCTGTGACATTTGTACACGTATCTTTTGAAGGTTAGGGTTAACTAATAGTCATTTGGATTTGAAACTAGTAGCGCCATCTGTGTGTTAGACAACGAACTTTTCGGCAAACCTAGTAAGACCATAGACGGTATGTCATGGGTTAAAATTGTTTGTAAATGTTGCAAACTGTTGAATAGTTTCTATTATTTGGTTCCATCATGATCAAGAAGGTCCACATTATCCTCGAGAGTCGTAGATTTTCTCAATGAAACGTTTCCAATCACTCTGGTTTGTACGACAAAGTCAAATTGAATAGCCTGCTAGATCCTTAAGTTCAACTTCCATGGGCGTTTTTCTCTGGGTTTCTTAACTTTTCAGTCATAAATTATGAAAACTCCTGAAAGAATTTTTTGAGTTTTTTTATGAAGGGTGATTTTAACATTAATTTGAACACACTTGCATCCTGTTAGTAATTAGGGTATCTATTCAAGGTCAGACATGTACACTGTGTTGTACATCATGACTAAGGTCGGAGCTAAACATGGAGATATGATAAAAAAATCGACCTATCGAAATATTTAAAGTGTAAGATAGATATGTTTGTGAATCCCGAGACCAGCATTTTTGTTGGTTAGGCAGAATAACAACATATTTCATATTTATAGGTATGTATAACTGTACGCTGTTGTTATATTTTTAATTAAAAAAAAAGATAGATAGATTGATAATTTATTGGTGTTTCATACATTCATCAGTATTTACACAAGTCAGTACATACATATTAATAAAATCAGCATACCTCAGGCATCTATTAATATTTACATAAACAATAGATGCTTACAATTGAAAGAAAAAGGTTTTTTTATAAAAAACTATTTATATCTTATACAGTACATCTGAGTTATGTCGA